AATGACGATCCACACGACACAAATACAGTTCTTACGTGCAAACGAAAAATCATTGCAAAAAAAATTATATTTTTAAGAATGGTCGAGTAATGACATTTGGAATGACCCTTAAGAGTATTTTCTGAGAAAACTGTACGATCATGGCGGGTATAATTCTAATCGGGAATTGTTACGTCGAAAGTACTGTACGAGTAAATTCTTATTAATTCAATAATCATCAAAGAGGACCAGGAGGAATCAACGCTTTGAAACTGCCCACGGGAAAATGGCTTACAGGAGGGCCTTTGCCGCGGCAAGCACGGGAAAAAACGGAGGATGCTCTTTTGAACGACCAAACGAAGTTATCAGATCAAACAGCGGCGCCGTTATATTAATAAAATAGATTTGCACCGCCCTTCGACGAAGGAGGAACCGTTGTCGTCTCCGCTGTAATTTTGTTTCGCAGGGCTCCCCGGCTTAATCGTGTCGCACTGAAACGCAACTTTTTCATTTTCGCGATAAAGTGGACACAGTCACTAATAGTTCGTAACATTATTTCGATCCTAAGTACTCATCATGAAAGGTAACTGTAACTTTGTTATGTCACATCTTGAATTTGTATTCTTGTGTAATTAATAGACTGCGGATTTTTCTACAAAATGACATTTTATAAAATAATTCATATATGTAGGTAAAAGCAAATTAAATAATTTCTTTCTTCTCGTAAGTATTTTATTAGAGTCAGAAAAGAATAGAAAACTTATTGCATTTAGTAAAAGTTTTGTCTTTCATTGTATTTCACAAAGCCCCATAGGCCATAAATGCATCAAATTCGCAATCTGGTCGGAATTACATTTCAGCCCAGTAACAATGTTACAAATTCATGAAATAGAAACAAATGTCACCATTCAACAAGCTTGTTTACGTACTCAGAAAACCTCGTACTTTAATTAACTAAAGATTGTAATAACGGAGATTCTGATATCTGAACAGAACAAGTTTTCAAATGTCACGACAGTTTGCCGGAATAACGAACCTTTCATTCGTGTGTTAGCCTTTAATAGTAACAATTGTCACGTGAACAACCGAATATAATAATGTTACGAGCGAAATGGTACGACAACGCAAATAGCGATATTTACTCCAAACATTGTATTTATATTTAATTTAAAGCATCCAGGGAGCACATTTACAGACGCAAATGCCGATAAGCTGATCGGGAAGCTCGGTTAATTCTATTTCAAAGAGAAACGAAAACCGAAAACGTTTCGTGCTCCTGTCGCGGCCGTTCCAATTAACCAGAGTAAACTGTGATTTACACCGAAGGGAGAAATCGACTAGTATAACGAGGGTAACGATTTTACAAATTGACACAGTTTCATTTCCTCCATTAAAACGTTGCGATACTTCTAAATTCTCCAACATTAAACTCCTAACGCGACGAAAAATGAATAATGAAAGTGATACCTTTGTAAAATCTTTTTCTTATTTTCTTTGGAAATTCTGTTCACTTTAGAAGTATATACGCTGTTCCTGAAAATATTCCTGAACTAAAGTTAATTAAGGTAGAGAATTAATCTCAGTTAGACTTCGCCATATACCCCGTGTGTATTAAAACATGAACATTTAAACCAAATTTATAGATGATCTTCATAAAGATGCATCTCAATTTCTGCTGAAAAATTTATTTATTCATGACAAGAGTCATCATTAAATTCATTATAATAATTATGTAATGAATATAATACTTGTGCTTCAATGAGAAACCTGTTTTTCTAACAAGTTTTATAACTTTGCTATACAACATGTTATGTTATATAGTGTAGACGCAACCTAATAGAAACAATAGCTTGGCACATTCTTCATTCCATATACAAGGGGAATCTGAAGAGTAATACATACTACGAAACGGGCCGCACGCGTCTCATAAGTAAATTACCAATTGCCAGGTTGATCCTACTTCGATTAACACAGTATCAACATCTCGGAAAGGGAAAGGAAATGAGCCCAGAGGAACGTTCGTTCGATCAACTCATCGGGATTAATAATAAGAGTGTTTGAAGACTGATTTTTCTAGAAGCGCTCTAGCAATTACCTCGTCGATTGCCACTTAAGCCTCGATTATCGTCGTCTCCGAGAGTTCCCAATTGTATTAAGATGAAAACTAAGCCCTTCCCTCTTTTCCTTTACTCTCCCACTTTTGTACAATGTATTTTAATCAATTGTACAAAATAATCGTGTAATGACTGGTATTGCATTTGACACGATTTTAGACATGTTCAAATGATGAACGAAAGTGTTTGTTGGTCTTTCATAGGACCTTATTTTGTTATCGTAAGAATTATCATCTTGTACTTTTTTAATGAACTTGAACATTATTTTGTTAGCATAAAAGTTTACATAATCTACCACAGTTTAAATCAATCTACAAATTATTTTGTTATACCTACCACTTTTCATTTGAAGAAAAATCGCGACAACCGATTAATTTTCATGTTCTCTTGCTTTCTCCTTCACTTCGATTTAAATGCACACCGATACCATTCCCAGAAAACAAAGTTACGTGGAACATTCGGTGAAATATTTCAACAGAAAGCGTACTCCTTTTGCACAATAACATATCATTTAAAATTCGTAGTAGCTTTGAGTGCATCGCGGCGCGGGTGTGTCAGTAAAAATGTAGGAACAAAAATGGAAACAACGGCACGTGTTACAGAAAGCTTTCCGCTTTGTGGCGCCAGTTTACGACAATAGGGCCATTTACTGTTCTTGCTGGAGCGTAAGAAAATAATACTGAACATACACAGACCCGCACATTTCTTTAATCATAAATGGTCCAGGTAGAAGATAAGCATTGATACTTAAATACGCAAACTTTTTGGTATTATTTGTTGGTTAATTATCTATTAGCGAAAAAGTAATGTCGGTTTTCAGTGGTGTAATTACCATGACAAAATCTCGATCACGATACACAAGGAGACCACACGTCCGCGCACAGATTTTTTTTAGGGTGGAGCAACGGTGAATGCACTTAACGATTCTCAAATACGTATTACGAAGTACGAAATGATCGATCGCCCTTAGACATCTGCGCACTTTAAAGGTACGAGCGAAAAGCAATCCCGGGCGCTGAGTAAAAATCGTGACTAGGCCATTCTCGCATCGGCAGGAAATTAATCATAATAATTCGACTACCGGCGGCCGGCCGGCAATCATTCTGATCGCGCCTTCTCGGTCGTTCATTATTCAGACATTGGACGTTACAGTCAGTAAACTTGAAATTTGCAGATTCACGAGGCGATGAAATATGACCACCGGTCCCGTTCGGTACTAATTGTAGATAAACAAACTCACGGACAACTGAATGGTTCAATTCCTGTCGACTGTATTGCTTAATCTTTCTTCAAATATAATGATTTCAAAACATACAGATGCAACAGTAAACGAACCATTGATCAATACGTTCGCCGTGATGCCATTCTGTGTAACAAAATAAAATAAAAATCTCCTGAAATTCTAACATATTTTTATCTATGGATACTAGGTTCAGACAATCATAGTCTAGTAATCAGAATCAAACCTACAACTGTTGTATGGTTTGAGTGTTCGAATTACGACATTACACGGACGAAAATTTCTGCAGATTAAAATAGAATCTACGCACGTTTTTCATTGAAATATAAGCGTTACATTCACTGCATAATTATTATACTAAATTTGAAAACGACGCTTCGAAGATGTTTTTAAAAAGTATTTTTTAGCAAAAACTGAGATGCATCTTTATGCAAATTATTTCTAAATATCCACATTTTAATACACATGGAGGAAATGGCTGAATTTAACTGAAATTATTTCTCTACCTTACTTAACCATAGCTTTTAACACAATCGATGTTATTGCTATGCTAGATAGTACCTTGAAATGAGTAGAGTACACTGTATAATTTTGGAACAAAGGAAGGAGCCATGTTAATAATTTTCATTCATGAAAAAAAACGTCAAATATACCTAGGGGTAAAATCGTTCGATTCGTGCAACAGATGCAATTAATTGTTCCCTAATATTAATAACGATTTTAGTCGGAAAAACGACCATAATATTTACCTACACTTAATACTTTCCGAATTCAGATATTAACAGATGAGCAAAATATTTTGTCGTTTGAAATTCTAACGACTAAAAATTTCAAGGAGACAAGATTCGCCCCTAAAAAAATGATCGAGATTTTCATTGGAGATGGAAAAAGAAAAGTTGAAATTACGCAAGATAAAAGCCAGAAAATAATTTGGCGCAAGTAGGAAAGGATTAACGGACATGTTGGGGGGTCTCGGAGGAGGAAGTTGATCCAGGTGCGACGCGTCTTCCCAGCGAAGGTCGGATATCTCGGTGGATGCAAAGAAAACAGCTTGCAACTTGTCACTTTCCCGTGACTCGCGTATTAAGTTCAACTCGCGTGACAGAGTCGTCATGTTTTCCTACAGGGGTGGTCCATGCGCGTCAAAGTGTTAAAAGTTTTTTTTCTCGTTGTCGGCCATCAAAGGAATCGCGTCCGGTGTTGTTCGAGCAACAGAAAGAATTGGCGGCGAAAATTTTCACGGTGAAGTGTCAATAGACAAATATTTACTTATGTACGAATATTTGTTTCTTCCATTTGTATAAACAATTAAGAGAAAAACAATTGAAAAAATCATTAAGAAAACAAAAATACACCTAAAAAACTGAATTTTTATCCGTTTTCATAAACAAACGAACTGTTTAGCAGTCACCTAATAATAAATAAATAAATAAATGGTACTAGTACACCATTTCTACTCTATATACTTCGCCTAATTCCTAATTCGGGGAGAAACATTTATGACATCTGTCCCCTTATACGCGCCACTACTTTAAACAGCTCTCTCGTTCGTGAAAAGGAATTGCATCTGCGCATAAAGTGTGACTGATACTAAAGGAAGAAATTGACTTTTGTAAGGTCCCATAACTCGAAAACATCAGGATCCATCATGCACTTTAGATACTCACCCGGAAATATCTTGGACTCGCGTCTGCAACGACGATTTTTCAAAGGGTTCCTCCGGGATCAGACTGCACAGCAATTGCATCAGGCTATTAGCTACGATTCCGCTTCCGTTCGAGTTACCAGACGCTTCCTGTACCTGAACTTGGTCATCCAGCTTCGACAGAGTCTGTTGACACAAAAAATTGATTATTCTTCAATGATGTTTCGTCAATTGGCAAGCGAAAGAATGAACCATGTATATTCTAATATATAATAAGTAGACTGCGGATATTTAAAAGCCACGTCGTCGAACCGATTCCTCCAAAAATTGTACTGTCGACTCCAACAAACGGTTGGGTGGTCGTCTGTTTTCAAGACTAAAGATTGCTCGGATGCTGGCTAAGACGAATTCCTGGCACGTTGAGTCATTGATATCAGGTCTCCTGGACTGGGCGATCAACGTCGCACACATACAGGAGACATTCAAAATGCTAAATTAGAGGTAACGAGTCGAAAGGTCCCGATAAGAATCCTGGGGTATATGGCCCCTAAGCGTCTCCGATTCGATAGGTCCTTCGAGGAACACTTAACTGCTCACGTTTCTCCGTATTCGTTTAAGTTTTAGGACAAAAATGGCTCCACGAACCCGTTACCTCGGCCACGAAATTTGTTACCAGTTTAGCGTGATTCAGCTCTTAACGCGAAGCTTCTGCTGCTCGATCGATTCTGATAGCTTATTTATTCTTGCAGTCGTCGAGTTGATTTTAAGTTGAAAAATAAAAAATTTCGATGGACTATGTCACTCGAGTTCCTCATTTTCATAAATAATAGCAATAAATTAAGTGCCGTGACGGTCACAGATGACAAAGTTACTTTTGCGATAAACTTTCCTAATAAATGTCCAATATTAATTCAATTCCATAATTATCCAATACAGATTCACCACTGAAAAATATGACGAATAATATTTTTACATATTCATTATTGTGTAATCACACTAATACTAGGACGTGTAACTGAAAGTATAACGATAAGATAAAAATTAACAAGATTTTCCACAGTGAAAGCCGTACATGTAAAATCGAATTTTCTGTTTTCAGATAAGATATAGATTCTTACTTTTTCAGAAATAAATCAAATATAACAACTTTTTGAAGCAAGTAATTCGGGAAACCAAATCTGCTTTGCCTGCGTTCGACCCTTTCGATTCCGAATCGCCTAAATTAACAGGGACATTTTCCCTTTTTTACGATCGATCAAGTCAGTCCCGAATCATCGAATTTCACTATGCCTCCGAAAGAACCGTACGTATGCATCGGTGAAAAAAAAAAATGAATAAAAGGGGCAAAATCACGAGGGGGACCAGTGATCTTGAACGATTTACGGGAAACTGTAAATTTGTTTCGCCAACGGACGAGATTGAAAAGCATTCGCGGACCCTACAGGACAATCGATTCCTTTGTGCAATGGTCCAAACTGTAATTTCTCCTGGACTATCTAATAGAGGAGCAAGTCGTATTTTCATGAGACATTCTCTGTTGGACTCGTGCACATAGCTCACCAGACGTTTCGTGTCAGTGGTCCGAATTGAATGAAATTAAGCTTTCAACATTAAAACAACCAGCACTATTAAGGTTGTATAATACAGGAACATAAATAATATACAATACAATTTATCATAATATAGTATATATGTATACTGTAAAATGTATAGTAAATTAAAACTGGACATAAATTCCACCGAAAGCACTATTATAATCTATATCTAAAACAAATTTATTAGGGGCTGAAAACCATTCCGCCTTGCCACGAATGCTGCGAAGCGGACTCGAGTTCGTCGCACTCATGAAGACATTACTGTACAACAGTTTGAAACAATTATTTTCAGAAGGGTTTCAACCCCCGATTTTAAGGGTTAACTGGAAAATTTGAATTCACACTCTACATCCCCCCACCGTTGGATTATTATCCATTCTGGCGAAATTATTCACCACCAAATAGAAGCATTAAAAAATTAAAAACCACGAGGCAAAGGTGTTATTATAATAAGATTGCAACGCCAGTTTCGGGAGAGCTGTAAATCTCTCCAGGTGCATCTTGCGGCGCAGGTATAAAAAAATATGAGGCAGATCCGAAATTCTGGGAGCCACGGTGTGGAGAGAGAGATTGTTGAAAAAGCGCCGATAGGAGGACGAGACAAAAGATTAGGTCGGGGTCCTCGAAACGGAGCTTGATGGAAGCGGCAACAGAAGTACCCACGCACATTCTGCATGGAACACACGCTCCTTTCACCGTATAACCCGATTCCCGTGTGCACCCGTGTGGGTTCTCGACATGTATATATTTTCACAAATACACACACACACATAGGCTATGTGTGTGCGCGCACGCGTGGGTGACGTCACTAAAAGCTCTCTCGCCGCTAATGCATTTGTGGAGGGGGATTCCCGGGGGAGGAACGGGAGAAGGAAGGCGCCAGTGCCGTATCTACAAAGCGTGAAAAATCGATCCTAAAATCACCGGCCACGCCGCGTGGATTCGCGTGATCGGTTACAACACGACGACGGATCATCGAGCGATACGATTGACTTCGAACGTATCGCCGAATTTTGGGCGGGTTTGCATGGTAACGGCGAGCCTCGGGAATTGTTTGTGCAGAGGAAACGGGGGATTGGCAAAAAGTGTTTGCGAAAACGATAACGAAGGGAACGACGGAAAATTGTGAAAGTAGCAAGAGGTAATTAAAAAAAAAGGGATGTTCTTGCGAAGAAGGAAAATAATGGGAGGTGGATGTTTTAGGAAGAAGTATGTGGGAAATGACGGAGCATGCACAATTTTAGCAAGAAACAGAGAATTGTTTGAGAAAGAACTCTGTAATTAGACTGGTGAATCTTTATGCAAGATGAAGTTTCTTTTTTAAATAATTCGTAGAGATAAGAGCTCTTTCTCTTGGTACGAATATTACTGAATCGTGAATGGAATAAAAAATTTCTTAAATCTGATTTTGCATTTCATTGAATTTCACGTATTCCTATATGTTATAAATACATGCAATTTCCAATCTAATTATTCTTTAAATGATTAGAAGTGGAACAGTTTATGAACAAACGAGTCAGAAATGGAAACGGTAGGATATTTTTGTAAAGAATGAAATACAAGATACCACAGAAAATAATGTTCGTGAGGAAAAAAGAAGAATATTTGATAAATATCTTAGAAAATTTTAGGAAAATTAAGGTTCCATGGATACGTCAGTGGGAACACGTGCGTTTCAACCTCGCTTTTCTACTTTCAACCTCGTTCTCCCCCTGTACACTTCACTTATCCATTAAAGTTTTACCACTACAGGATTTTCTCTGCCGACCTAAAGAAACCATATCCATAAAAAAATGTTCAGAGTTGCGATTTCCAGACCGACACAGCAGTTAAAGAACGATAATGACAGAAAAATATTCTGACTAATTGCAGTTTCCAAAAAGAGCTGACCACTGTAAATATTATTACGTTCAAACTTTTATATTTACTTTATGAACAAGTATTCCATTACTTTATTAATAATTATTCAGAGGAATAATACTGAATATAAGTAAACCTTTCTTTTATTAGAAGGGAGCACAAGTACAAATAAATGATAATTTAATCAGCGAAAAATAATTTGTGTGTAGCACACACAAATAACAGAACGCGCATATGAGAAGAATTCGAGGAAATAAAGAATTTTTGAAAAATGTGGTTGAAAGAACAATTTTTTTTCTGCAAATTGGTCAAAATATCTAGTAAACTATTTTTTACAAACGATTACTTTCAACATATCAACAAAAGATTATCCGTTTAATTAAAAAATAGGACTGCACCAAACATTTTTTACACTAACGTATAAACATCTAAAATACAGTGGTACAACCTGCAAGAAGATATGGTTTGTTCCAGTTGCGTGATTCACCCTGTATATGCACAGTGTACTATTTACAACCGAAATTCTTCGATGGATTCCAGCAACCAGCTTACTGACTCGTGCTCGGGGAAAGAACTGAAGCCAGCCCTAAGACCCTTAATCCTTATTTTGACAAGTCGGACAGGACAGGCACGATGGTCTTTGCCTTCGTTTATTTACCAACCTCGAAATGAGCTCGAAAAAAGGGCAAAGCGACAAGAAATCCGCTCGTGCGTCGCTGCTGCGTAGATTCGTGGTTTACTCGTGGTCGAACAGGATCGGTTATTAGTAGACCGCAGATTTTTATGCAAAATTACATCTTATAAAGTAATTCATATAGATCAAAGCAAATGTAAACATTTCTCTCTTCTGTTAAATATTTTATTGGGTTCAGAATAAAATAGAAAACTCGTTGCATCCAATACAAATTTACAATCACAGTTTTTTTAAAATAAAATTTCAAAATCACGTAGCTTTTTTATCGAATTATTTCAATTTCAGGGGCAGGGGGCAAAAACATTAACACATCGACTGCCACAGTGAAAAAGGCTGTGCGTAGCCAGACACACTTTATTTTATTTTTAAAGCCATAAATCGTTGAAAATGTATGTGTTTTAAATTATACTGCAATATTAAATATTACGCAAAAATTTTGTAACTCTGGGAAGGGAGGGGAGGAGGCAAATTCTATGTATGCACATGCAAATATGCAGCAGGTAACGAAAGTTACCTATTTTTCTGAAATTTATACAAAGGGTGTTCGCGCTATTGCTGCCTAGCGTTTTTGTCAGAAGTGGTAGATTTGTAGGGAAATTAGAAAATGATAAAGTTTCACTATTTTTTTTACGCAATAGAAGGGCTCAATTAGATTTTTTAAACTTGCAATGATTTTCACGTAATAGCGATACCATGAATTTTTCTTAAATTGATAGCTATAATTTTTCTTGTATTATATGTAAGCAATTGTCGAGGCGAGTTCAACGACCTACTACAACTATTGTTATATTAATATTCTTTACTGTAAATGAGAGCGTTTTAAAGTAACGTTTAGCTATCAGTCCTGTGTCCTGTTACTTAATTCATATTAATAATTAATTACAGTATACATAAAGCTAACATATGAAGTCCTTTTGGAGATGCATTTTTTCTAATAATTGTTTAATTACTAACAGTGTACGTTTACTATTTACGCAAAACGGATTAAAAATTGAATAAATTGGAACACTGTACCAGGTTTGGAAGTTATCAATTCTTATTAGTAGTAAACACAATTTTTAAATGTATTTGATAAACAAAATTTAAAAAATTTTGTATCACACATGATCACGTATAATTCCCGAAGACTTTGTTACCATAATGTACAATTTCAGCATATTCAAGATTAAACAAACAATTTCAATGATCAAGTTTAGAAAAAGCAATGTTGATAAACATACCTCTAAATGTTGAAGCAAAAGATCTAGGATGACCAGAATTTTGTTGCTGGACAAAACGGCTTCAATGTTGGAGTCATTCCCGCTGACACTAAGCTTGTACACTCGACACACAGAAACAACACTCCTGAAACATATGAAGTAAAACTCGTTTTAATTCCTATTTGAAACATTAAAATATAATAAAATTCCGTTAAACGTTTGCAACTTGGAATTAGTAATACATATTTAATACAGTAGTACTATCCTTCAACATCTAACTAATAAAACACGCAATGTTTAATGTATTAAATAGTTTACTGTATGGTAATCATATCATTTCAAGTACTATAAAGTCAATAAATCTCTAGACAGTAAATTAAGAATAAAATAGTTCTACAATTATATATAATACGATAAAAATATATAAGACCAATAGAAATACTTACTTATTTGGTAGATTGTGAGATGCATTTTGCATTTGTAACCCCAGGCTAATTAGACTTGTTAAAACATCAAATCCATTTAAACCATTAAATGCATTTTGATCGAACGGACACTGAAACATTATATTAACAATATGTTACATTTAAATTCGTATTACATATATGTACGTATATTTTAATAACTTTGTTCCAATGCTTTGCCTCATTATTTAAGTCGTTTAGTAGTCATTATTATTTTATATATTTACACAGTGTCATAGTTATCCGACTATGTGATTAGCACTATACTACATATACTCAAACATTCTCAAAACAACTCTCTATAAAAATCTGCAATCAAAAAGCAATGTCTTACCGATTTTGAAAAAGCTCTTGTTATTTCACCTAAACAACGTTCCAAAGCAGCAATGGCGACGCTTGACCACGCAGTTTTCGAGTGATTATTGTATAACCGATCTAATTCCTTCAAATTTCGACGAAACTTCGCTTTGTTTGTTGATTCACTGGACTGATTTATATCGACCTTATGATTATCTTCCCACTCTTTTCCGCGTAAAATCATACGCTGCTTCATTTTTCTGCATCGACGTTTTAATGCTTTCTGCTTTTCTTTCGCAGCTTTAATCTCGTTTGAATTATTATTATCGACAACCGAAATCGGTAAATCTCGAATTTGCGAGATATTGAAACGCTGTAATTCGTCGCGGGATGGTTCCCGACCATCATACGTACTTCGTACAGCTTCTAGATGTGTCTTTCCCTTCAAATGGCTTAATAGGTATACTTCGTTCGGTATCTACAAATAGTAAGACAGTACTGTATATTACAAAGTAATCACAATAGTAAATGAAAGTAATTGAAAGGATGAAACTTACAACTGTTCCGCATAAAGAACATTGCTTCTGAGTAGGATACGATTTCAGGGTAGGTGGAACTTCCTCTGACCTCAATATCGAAGATTCGACTGCCCTTTGTCGAATCTGTTCGATATTCTCAACGTGCCTCCTAGCTGATTCTTGCTGTTTCTGAGCTATTTTCTTTTGTAATTCTTCTTGATTTGCTAATTGAGCTGCGTGCAGTGCTGATAAACGTTCTTCTCGATCTCTGGCTTTTTCTCTTGCAAGTTCCTACGAGATTAATATTAAACGGAAATGACTTGCAATGTAAATTTTTTATCTCATACACACACGTACACGACACGCACCGTTCAAACACAATACTGTTATGCTACAACAGTATTTTACAACATCCGAAAGAATCATTTAATGCACTAAGTTTTATTCACTCATATTTTCAGTTTCTCAAACATTGCAATAGTAATAATTTTAGTTTATTAGCAAAGTAATATGATTACCTGACGCTCTTTTTCTCTTTCTAATTGCATTTTACCAACTCGTTCTTCACGTTCGCGTCGAGCTTGTTTCATTTTCTGAATACGTAATTGCCTCTCTGCCTCTAAAGCACGTCTACGTTCTTCAGCTGCAGCTTCTTTGGCAGCTTTTTCTTCTTGTCGACGTTGACGTTCTTCTTGAATTCCCTATAAATTAGATTATTACAAATACATCACTAATGTTTTTTATCGAAGATATAATTTTATGCAATATACTTGTAATCTTTCTTCTTGTTCCTGACATAACGCCATGAAATCGTGCCTTTTATTTTGTGCTTCAAGTTCATTAATGAATGCAATCTCCTTCAACTTGGAATCTTCATCGTGAGCTTTTCTTACTACCTCTAGTAGATGCTGTGTTCTGTTTTCTTCTGCCCTCTTTAATTTCATTTCCATTCTGACTCTCTTGTTTTCTATCAATTGATTTTTTGCACTCTTAACGTCTTTCACTTTGTTTAACAATTCCCGTAATCTTTGAGACTTTTCCATTAACAGTTTTTGACGCTTGTGTTGTGCACAAGCTTGTTTTGCTTGGTACCTTCGTAGTGTCTCAGGTAATGACCTTTTTCGTGATGGAGATGAAAGCTTTTGATGCAATTCTAAAGCCCTACCAGGGTGACGAGCTACTAGTGCACGTAACTGAGCAAGGGTATCTACACATTCTGCCCAAGACATTCCATCTAATATATTTTCATACCTGTAAACATTTACATTAAATTCAATTTAAAGCAAAAGGAAAATTAAAGTAACAAATATGATATGCACCTATCTTCTAAACCTAAACTGATGTCATCAGGCACTGCAATAGGAGATGTTTCTTGTTCATCCTCTATTTCAAGGACCATTTCACCATCAGTTTCATCAGTTTCTGTATCAACATCAGTTTCTGTACATTCTAATTCTAAAATTTGCCTATGCAATGATGCTTCCTCGTCTGATAGCTGTTGCGATCGTTGAGAATCAGCTTCTTCTGTCTTTCTTTCTTCTTCTAAAATTATTCTTTCTCTTTCTGCTTGTGCAGCCATAAATTGTTGTATACGTTTCTCAAGTAATTCTGCATCACTTTTAAAAATAGCTGCTATCATTGATGTAGAGTTTATTTCATTCAAATTAATTGTATTCTTGAAAACCTCTTCCACCTTATCTTTAATGGTAAGACTTGTAACTGATTCCCCCTTCACCTTTTCTACCTCGTTACATATGTTCTTGCCTTCTTTTTCTACAATGCATTTCTTTTTCTGTTTACCATTGCCATCTGGTGTCAAGCATTTTTTCTTATTTTTTTCTGATGGGCTTTCAATAGATAAGGCTGGTAATGATGTAGCAGTACTTGGTTTATGAAATCTTGTAGACATATCTAAATTGTGAGTACTTCCTCTTCTACAACGACCTCGAACAGTTTGCCAACCGTCATTTTCTTCTTTTGTTTTTACTGTTACTGTTTGTTTTGTCAATACTTCTACTGAACCATTTATGTCTTTATTACACTGATCTTTCCTCAATGAACTTTGCTCTGAAATCTAATAAAGATACATAAATAATATACATTACACTTTAACTTAAAATGTTTTAAAGTCAAAAATATTAACAGATTGAAAGTCAATCCTAAATACCTTATTCTCAAGAGTCTGAAATCGCTGTCTAACTATTACGGATGTTCCAGGTTTAATTTTATTTGATGTTGATGTATTTTTATCACTTAATGTTGTTTTACTTCGAATAAATTTAGGAGTTTCAGAGAGAGTTGATTGTTTTATTTTGGTAGCCTTCATTTGTGATACTGTAGAATATGCCGGTTTATGTATATTAAGCAATCCTTTATTTGTACTGTTGCATGACGTATCTGATACATTTCTGGCCACAATTTTATTATTCACATTATCACTTGCACTGGACTGTCCTTTTAATTTTTGATTAACTTTATTTGAAACTTTTGTAACATTCTGTATGGTTTTATTTACTACAATGACACTATTATTTTCTTTTGCCACAGTATTGGATTCTATTAATTTATTTTCAGTTGTTACATTTTCTATACCAATAGATTTAATACTCTTCTTAGTATTTTGTTTTTTCACTTTAGCGTTAATTTCATTTTTTCCCAGTTCCAAATCATTTTTAGGACCTAGAGGTTTTACTTGCAAATTATTTTGAGCATTCAATTTATTATCCACACAAGCAGATTTAGAAAGTTCTTTTTCTGTTGATGTAAAAGTAATTAATTGCATGTTTTTATCATTCTGAATTACTTGTTCATTTTTCTCTACTATCACATTAGGATCTGTTACTTTAAGGGTATTATTGTGTAATGTACTTTTAACTGGTTTTGAAACAGTTTTAGGGTCCAATTTACTTTTCAGATCACGAGGTGAAACTTCATTTGTTTTCTGATCTGTTACAACACTACTACTTGTTTTTGCAGATACTACATGTTTTACAAGAGCTTTATTTACTTTTATTGAAGTTAGTTTGTCTTTAATCAATGACTGATTTGTTATTTTGTCTGTTGGACTTTTAGACTTTTCACTCAAATTTGAATTATTTCTAGTAACATTACTTTTATTATCTTTTATCAATTTGTGTGCAGGTTCTGTTTTCATGTAATTTACTTTATCATCAATAGTAATAGCCTTATTTTCGGAAATAATTTGATCAACAGGACTTCGACACATTGATTCTGTAGGACTCATTCTTTGCAAAGGACTAGTGGATTTTGGAATCATTGTTGAATTCCAGATGCGACAAGGGGATGTTTTCCTAACTTCCCATGCTAACGGTGTACGCCTTAAGGGTGGTGGCGAACTTTCATAAGCCCATTTTACCTTAAACCATTCAATCAAGTTATGAAAATCTCTTGTATAATTTTCTAAAACTAATATCACTTCTTTACATTCTGAAATATTTTCATCTTCTTCACAAGTTTGGTAAATGCCATCAACAGCTCTTTGCAAATTACCAAATAAAAAAGCCCAATATCTTGCCTGTAATTCTGACATAAAGAGAAAAAACTATATAATAAATTCAATTTGATCTATTTTCTCATCATTTTTACTTACCAGATTTTTTATCTCGACCAGTAGAAGCTGATCGTACTCTGGTTGTTGGTTTCATTGATCTTTTAGTTGTATTCGATTGTGATATTCTTGGCACACTAGGTGGTTTTTTAGTCACCTTCTCGGTATTACTTGTTCCAACTGGTACATTGAAAGCTATCAAATTTCTAGCTGCCCGACCTTCTTCTTGTATAAGTAATCGTACATCAGCCATTCTTAATAACTTTCTATAAAATGCGACAATCTAATAGTATTTTTTTTTATAATAGTCATGCACACAGTGTAACATTCTAATATAATGAAAGTATAATACCATCAATAATGCACTGACAGCCAAATTTTATCAAGTCATTGTTTTTATAGAAAATATGAGCAGAAGTATTTTATGTACAAGTTATTGTCCATAAAAACATAAAAACGAAAACAATATCTGTAAGAAGATAAACAAGTCATATATAATATTGGTACATCAATTTTATTTTAATAAACTAACAATTTGTACTTTATTACAGCTTCGAGGTTATACGGCTGTCATTAAAATATTAAATACCAAGCAATGAAAGAAATAGCAATCATTAGTTCAAATGTGTAAACAATGACATATTAAGAACATTATAGGTACTAATAATTGTCAACAAAATATGCGAATAAATTTGTGTTTATACAGTCTGTGTCATTATTCCGTAAGTTTGAAATTACATATGACAATGGTTTTGTATGTAGTTAATATACAACTTACTATAGCTGAATAGTAATTACAAAATATTAAACATCGGTTGATTACAAACAGTTTTTAAATAGCGAACTATCGTTTTTAAATACGGAACTGACATTTCAATAGCAGTACAATACATTTCATGACAAATATCGTCTAAGTTTCGCGATAGTTTGTTGGTTGCACTGACACTGCTGCATTAAAAAATGCAACCACGATATCAAGCGATGCGATTAGCTCTAAAAATAAATTAATCATGATGTTTTCTTAAATTCATCTTGTGCTTTTTCCATTTTAAGAATTGTTCTAGTAAAGATTACCCATTTCCTTTTCGAATATATATACATATACAAGTTTCTTGCTCTTAAATTAATAACAATTTCCTAAGCACTTTAATTCTAATTTTTCCTTTATTTCTTTGAATTTTTATTGTACAAAAGTACAGTCAGTAATAATGTATATACATGGACGTATGAATATCCAATGAAATATAGTTTTCTCATAACTTTTTATAAAAAAAATTGTACATCTATACTATATCATTTATATACGATTGATTATCAAAATTTTTAAAATACCAGTACTACTAAAGGAACATTTTTTAAAAATAATAAAAGTTTTGAATTTATATTTTTAAGCAAGTAGCAATATAATGTCAAACTGGTTTAAGATGAAATTTTTGTCTTTTAATAAACTTCATATGAAACATTATCATCTATAATCTATTATATAAACGATATTAAGGTGGAAACTATAACTGTAATAAAATTAATCCGGCTTTTGCATAAGAATTCTTCTGCTCGTAAGCGCACATGATTTAAGTGAATTTAAGAGTGTAAGAATTCTATTTTTCGTACGATGATGCCAAGAAATGTTTCTTCCAGAAATTGTTAAATTGGTTTACGCAGTGAATTCGCGTCCAGCGCCATCAACGCGTGATAAGATGAATCACGAGAAGCGGTTGCGAAGACTGTAGCGCACATTTACGTGTGGAAATTTAATTAACACTTCGTTAAAGTGTTCCTTTAGGGTTGCACGATAGATCCTAAGCAGTTTTTTGAAGTCGGCTTGGAGGCCGATTATCACGAGACAGTGACGAACTGCGAAAATAAAATTAAAAATCGATTTCGAGGTTTCTAGAAGAAAAGGACACCAGAAGGTGGACGATCTGCCTGACTTTGCGGGGTGACGCGGGGATATTTTCAGATAATCGTACGTATTTTACGGCTACACGTAAACCAGTCATATTTCCGACGTTCTTACACAACTGGGGTGCTTTGCACAGTTAAAATTTATATGATATGTAACTCGGTTCACAAATTCATTGTTTACGTGTATGTAAAAGTCTTATACCAGCTTTGGAGGTTGGCGGAAATATTGAAGGAGAGATCTCGAATATTATGTTTTCATTGTTTTCCAGTTCATCCATTCAATGTCGTTCTATTGATTATAATAACCACCGGAAGAATTTGTACTCCAACTTTTATTTTATTTTTACCAATACAAAGTACCTATTTATTTTAGTAGAGTTTCACGTTGCGTGACAAACTGTCAATTAATGGTGCATCGGCACTTACATAGGTATTGCCGGTTTTTTCACAGATTTGTAGTACAGAAATTTTAAAACTTTCATAGTGTATACTATGTTTATAGAAATAAAACACACCATTTTTTGGTAACCTACATTTACTTTGTTAGTCATTTATTAACTCATGCCTGTATCTGTATATTTTGTTATACTATGAATTTAGTAAAAATATCAGTATGTTAATTTAATTTTACACGCACATACATTTATAGTAAACTTCGAACATACATCTTTCTGATTTTTCACATTTTTTTTTTACATAATAAGTTGTTCCTCTTGTTATGTGTGCTTTATATATAAAGACTAATTACATTTTGATTTATGATTTTACATGTATGCTTAATAAAGTAGAAAATGTATAATTTTATATCAGCAGTCTATTTCTTTAAGTTATTACTCTTTCTAGTTTACTATGATTTATTTCTTTGAGAAATTAGTACATAGTGCTTGCTTATGGGTAGTATCATAATATAAGTTTGTAGCAATTGTATTTGATAAAAATAAATATAATTTTGTCCAATAAATAATAAATCACAGAGAATTGTATTTTAGTTTATGCGTCTTTCATTTTAGTTACTATGTTAATAATGTTTTAGTTTATATTAACTTAAAAGCAAATTAGAGGAAGTGTAGAAACCTTCTTTTAGGGAAGTTCCATCAAACATGGCTGCTCTTCCACGAAGGATTATAAAGGAAACGCAGAGACTGATGCAAGAACCAGTACCTGGTATCAGTGCTGTACCAGATGATACAAACGCTAGGTATTTTCATGTAATTGTAACTGGTCCAGAAGATTCGCCATTTGAAGGTGGACTTTTTAAACTTGAATTGTTTCTACCAGAAGACTACCCAATGTCTGCTCCTAAAGTTAGATTCATTACAAAAATTTATCATCCAAATATAGACAGGTATTTATCCATGTATTTATTTTTTATTAATTTATTCTGATTGCATAAAAACTACTTTGTATATTTTATTGTTTTACTACCTTAAATTACAAGTGAAATTCAAATTTAAAGAAAATATTTTGCATTACTGTATCATTTTGAAAAATAAAACTAAAATGTCTTCTTTGTCATAAAAATTCCTTCATTTTTTATATAGATTGGGCAGGATTTGTTTGGATATTCTCAAAGATAAGTGGAGTCCTGCTCTTCAGATCAGGACAGTTTTACTGTCAATACAAGCACTTTTAAGTGCTCCAAACCCTGATGATCCCTTGGCAAATGATGTAGCTGAATTATGGAAAGTAAATGAAAGCGAAGCGATACGTAATGCCAAAGAGTGGACTCGGAGATATGCTATGGACAACTGATCTCAGATCATCCATGATGCAAAGTGACATTACCCCTATCTTTCCGGTTTATTGATCACATTACCCGCACGAGCAGCATATCCTGCACTTATGTCCATATTTGCTATAAAAATAATAAAAGTTTTGTAAGAGTAAACAGAATGAAACTGTATTTTCTATATTGCGGGGAATACAAAGATGTCATTTAGATTTCTTCACTGGTTCATCAGACAGATTTGTAAAGAATCTCCTAACAATAAAACAGATCAATTGTAAGAAGATTCCAACTTCAGCAAAAAGGTATAATTTTAATGTATTACTAGTTTTTACTTAAAAATATACCTTTGTATTAGAGGTAAATGAATGTAGTGTCTTGCGTAAACTCTTTTTTGATATTGAATTACAAAATGGCTTGTGCTGTCAGTAATTTATAGCTCTCATTTTGGGACCTTAACGTATCCGTGAAGCAAAAAAAATTACTGAGTCGTTTATTATGTTATATCGATATTAAATTTTCTCTATGTCATTATGTCTACTAACTAATTATCTGATAATCCTAACTTATTTATCGTTAACGCGAGTGTTCAACATCGCGAAAGAGTACTGCGGTAACTGAATTAGTTTATGAATGTAATAACATTTATTTACATTTACGCATTTGAAATTATAGGCGAACAAAAATATTGAAATTTTTCAAGTCCGTGAAGTTCCATTTTAAATTGTATATCTATTTTAATAACTTTCACATATTAAAGTACCTTATTTATTAACATATTATGAGGAAAAGTTGTTTTCATATTTACAGTAACTTTTAAATAACTTTAGAACTGAAAAACATTTTTCCCACAATCCTGTTAATCGATATTTTTATTGTGTAAATATAAACTATTAAGTGAGAATCTGCAGTCTTTATTTCATTTTTTTAAACAAATTATAGTTAAAAAATATTCAGAGAGTGTTAGCAGTCATTTTTTAAAAACATTATTATTTGTATTATATATGTAGTTTACAACATTCCCAAACATGTACTTACATGCTTTGAAAACAGGAAGTTAAGCAAGAAAATGAATATGTATTTTGAACGATTATAATTCCTAAAGATATTGCTTGCTGAACTAAAATATTGTTTGTCATTACTAATTTACTAATATTTAAAAAGAAGATTAAATAGATAAGGTAATATAAAATATAAAATAGACAATACATTCAAAACTCACTTGTATTACACATGCTTCTGATATTTAACTTCTATTATGCTTAAGTAATTTAATACTTCTGTACAATTTGTTTATTTTTTGGAAAATGTAACTGATAAGTAAAATATGAAACTAATAGAGTATATTTTTTTGAATGGAAAAGTATACAATGCGGATAGTTGCAAAGAATCAATGAATTGTCTCATTAAATGGGCATTTGTTGAAATGTTTAGTTAATAATAAAGAAGTTGCTGTATAAAAATTAGAATTTAATATTACTTTCATTTATTTGTACACAAAACAAATTATCAAATTTTATTATTTTTTTAAAATAATTCTTTATAGTTATGTATGTGCTTAGTGTTTCCTACAAGTTTCTCTAATTTAATTGTTTTTAATTTTATAACGATTATTATTAAGTATTTTAGTTTGTCTATAATTAATACTTTTAGTGGACAAATTAAAATGCTGTGTGGTATATTTCTAACAAATTTTTATTTTTAATGTGAAGATTTCTTTTTTTAATATAAACAACTGGATTTAAACGTTACTTACGTTTACCAAGATTATTTTTAGCCAAAAATAAAAATGTAGATCATTTCCTGTAATAAAGATGTTATTATGAATATGTTACACAATAATATCGATTTGTCAGTGTATTTACTACATATACATATGTACATATATTGTTGAATTTGTAAACGTAAATGTTGAACTTTCATTTATATCTACATAATAGCCAATAATTTTATTTTTTTTAAATTGGAGACTTTTTATTAGATGTAGAATATGTTCAAGGACTTTCTAACATTATAATAAATCTTTTCAATCTAATCTAGCATCATATTTTAACAATAATAACAAAATTGGTAACCATGTAAGTATTTATTAAGTCTTTTATCTTTGTAATTTAAGAGAATAATTGGTAACTTCTTACTTTTCTAATATATATCCTGTCAATCTGATTTTTTGATTAAATATGTAATGTGAATCATAAATGGCACTACACTTTTAATTTTTAGAATATTTTGAATCATCAGGTATTTTCTAGAAAATAAAAATTTTTTTTTTAATTTAATTAATTAAATAATATTCTTTAAAATTCCAATTTAACTCATAAGGAGCAATTTTGTATATGGAGCATCCAAATGTGTCATTATTTATATTTACTAAATATTATAATGTAGATAAATAAGTGTTTTACATTTCTTTTTTTCAAAATATAAATGATATACGTCGACAATATCTGTATATTATATCACAGACAAGATATAAGGATAAGCCTAACATCACAGACGAGGCATAAGAATAAATTTAACATCCAATTTATTTTCTGGGATCCTCTCACCCCATTACCATTTTATCATTCAGAATTCATGCTTTATCAGTAACTCAGGTAGTACAGTAGGCACTCGTTTATTGCAGCCTTCGGGGCTGTAGAGGGCTAGAATTCCAGAAATATTGCAATAAGAGAGCTCCAATCACCCGCGCGCTCTCCCCGCCATTGGCCGTTCAGTTGTGCATCGCACCTATATATAGGGTGGGCTGAATATACGCACTTTATAGACATCTTAATTATTTCCGTTATTTTGAGACAATTTTTTCGTTGGTCGAGGATCTTCTGAGAAATCAAGATTAATTATATTTTCTGATTAATGATACTAAAACAAATGGCGCGACGTCGCCCCATAAAAGTGGGCTGAAAAAATACATTGCATGAAATATCTACTCTTATACTTCGTCTGAGCCTATACTATACGTTCCCGCCAAGTTGTATTAGTCGGGGATTTAGTGCTCTGACCAATCAACTACTCGCGATTCCCGAAGATAGCCGAATGAACCGTTCGGGACTAGCCGAATGTAACCGAAGTGCCATCTGTGCCATTCCTCTCGGAGAAGTTGACGTGATAGGATGTACAAGCCGTTTGCTCGTGCCAAAGTGAGTGTTTGACAATTACCTTTCATCTTTATTCATATACATATATTAATTACTAGTGCCTTCATTAGCTCTTTACCGTTACTGTCCTTTAATATTTATACAATTAGACTAAATAATCTCAAATTAATTCGATACCGTAGGTATCGGTTTATTCTTCGGTTTCACAGTTTACCAATTAATACAATATTTACGTATTTCTAATTGAATTTATAAGTTTGCGACACACCACGAATTCAGTAATTGTTAATTTGTAACGTAAGTATTCTTAACGTAGTGCAATTACTTAAAATTCGTTTATTTTTTGTTTCAGAGGTTCGGCTTGGTAGTACGCACTACCGCCTTGAGTATCGTTCACTCCTTTCAAACGGAATTTGGCGGGAGATTGGTGAACTCTGGTAATTTATTACATCATTTATTATAACAAAAAAGTGATCGGCGTTGGATTGTTATTGTCCTTGACAATGACTGTTACAGTTTTTATAATAGAATTTTTGGCTCAGTCAATTCACGCGAAATTATTTCACAATAAAATTATTTTACGAGTGAATAATTTGTATTTTATCATAAATGATTAAACAATAATCTCGTCTTAGTATTTACGAGAAATATTAAACATTTGTTATTTTATTTAAATGAGTTCAATTACGTTTTGTGCATAAGTTTCGAATAAATGTTTTAGAAAGTATTACATTTTTCGATCGTCCTTTTCTTGTTGTTAACCTTGACATTGGCTTCGTTTACAAGAATGAGAAATATGTTAGTTTCCCAGATCATGCTTCCCATGAAGTAAAGTCTGAATAAATTTAGTATTCTGTATAAATACGTTAACGGACATTTAATAAGTTATTTTTTAGATAAGTGACGAACTACATATATATTTTTGGCATTATGTTTTTTAAGTGTTACATTCGTCGTTTAAACTGGAGTGGTGCATATGTTGTTCCCGCCAAATCGTATTACTTGGGGGATATACCGCTCTGACCAATCAGCTACTCGTAATTTCCCGAAGATAGCCGAATGAACCGCTTGGGACCAGCCGAATGTAACCGAAGTGTCATTCGTTTCGGAGAATTTGATGCAGTAAGACGTAGGAGCCGCTCCTTCGTGCCAAAGTAAGTTTTTGACAATTACCTTTCATCTTTATTCATATATATCAATTACTAGTACCTTTATTAGCTCTCTATCTTTACTGTTCTGTAATATTTATCCTACTAAGACTAAATAATCTTAAATTAATACGATACCGTAGATACCGGTTTAATCTTCGGTTTCACTGTGTACCAATTAAAATAATATTTACGTATTTCTGATCCAATTTGTAATCTTTGCGACACCCTACGAGTTTAACGTAGTGTAATTACTTAAAGTTTATGTTTATTTTCTGTTTCAGAGTTCTGGTTTGAAAGTACGTACTACCGTCCTGAGCATCGCTGACTGCCTTCAAACGGAATTTGGCGGGAAATTGGGGAACTCTGGTAATTTATTGTTATATTTATTATAATATTTATTATAACAACAAAGTGACATTTCATTATATATTTTTATATTGTTTTTAACCGTAAGTGAAATAATCGTGATTTCGTGGTTTGTGCTAGGATCAGAGAATTTTTTCGAGCAATTTTTTCAATTCATATATTTAATTGAAGCATTCAAAATGGCTTCCTTGAATGTTACAAAATTTAAACTACAATACTTCGAGACATTTAAATTGGAAATGTTTGTGATTTACGTATCTCGGTCGTGAAATTGTATTAAAATAGATTATAGATAATTTCTCCTCTCTTACCATATGAGATTATTGTATTTGCATTTATATACAGTTTTGGGTGTAAATTTGATTAATACGAGCTGCATAGTTTATCATGCTTTTTATTGAAGCATGCGTAAATAATGCAACTTTGGTACTTGTAATGACTTTCTGAATATGTAGAAAAGCGGGACATGGATTAAATAAAAAAACAAACATGATTGCAGCATAGTTATGTATTATTGCTACAATGTAATCCATAAATATTAAAAACTGAATAATTGTCGTGTCATATTTATCAATAATAATAATATGAGGGTAATAAATTTGTCTTGTTTTTTTTTTCAGTTTCTTTAAATGTTGCATCACTGAATACTGAATCGGATGTCCTGATGTGAAGTTCCACCAGCAAAGACTGTAAACTCTTCTATCATCGGGTGAGTCCTTGCATGCCTTTTTTATTACTCCAGTACCCAATTATGCCATAGGACGATTAGTCCAATGTGGCATAGGTAACTGGTTGTATATATGCTAAATTTGTCGAGTATAGTGAATGTAGGTATGCTATCATACCTTCAAATAGTAACATTGATCAACTGTATTTCTTAGCTAGGGTAGGATCTTCTTATACATAGCATTTTCTACCATTAATACAATTAATAAACATTTTATAATTGGACAAAGCAGTATTAATGCTCTTAATATTCAATGCCTATTCTTGAGTCCATTGTGTATATGAACCTCTATAGGCAATATATTGAATACATATATGATGAATGAAACATTAGTGGAGGAATGTGACAACCTCTGACTTCCTCCTTGCACAAGCCAATATAATCACACAATGATAATAAATTATTGCAAATATAATGAAAAAGAATTAAAGAATATTGACCTGTTAAAAGAACAGCAACTAATAATTTTTTTAGTCAGGATTTTGACGATAATAATCCCGTGTGTGCGGGAATTTTTTCATTAGGTATTTAGTAAATTAGTGTAGTGAACGGGAAGGATCTGTCGCCTTTTTTAACATTCTCCAGAAATTTGTTAACATTAAATAATTAATGTTGCGAATGATAAGTACCCACATTGGTACTTTGTTTAGTTTCAGGAATCGTCGTGGGATTAAATTTCCAATTTATCAACATAAAATATGTATAAATACGTGTTATTATACCCTTTTATACTTACTATATGTGAACATATTCTTTTGAGTGTCCGTTTCACGAATCAAGGTATCATCTATGTAGTTACGGTTCGCTAATCTAAACTTAAGTCAACATCTGAAGATATCTTTTTGTGTGAAGATCATGTGAACATTTGTCTCCACTTGAAGAACATGAGAAGATTTTTGTTATTACGAAGACCACATGGAGATTTTTCTTCACCTGACAATCATCACGATTAATTTAAATTGTTGTGTGTGCGTGTGTGTGTGTTCATTGCGAGCGAATTAAGATCTAAGGCGATTATAACGAGACAAATTGTTAAAGGTTGATAGACGTTGAACTTGTGATTCCGTCTACCTTCCTTGCGTTTCCATTCGCAGCAACTTCCACTTGGTGAGGCCCGGGCAATCATTATTAGTTGATATATTAGTGACCGTCGTAATCATCCAGTAGTTAACAATTTATATAGCAAATAATGTGAGGTAAAAGGCTGCGAGGTTGTTCTTTTTTATGTATTGAGCCTTGTTGCTAGCTGTTACTTTACATTAGCTGGAAGCGATTAGAATCTGTTGTTCTGTGTATAATTTGTTCGTTCAACCACAGACGAGGTATGATTGGTTAAAAAAACCATGTTCGAAAATCTATGTTTTGTAGAGCAGACTTTAAGGAACGTGGTTGAATTCTGTTCAGATGTCTTCGAAATAAAACCGTTAAACGTCGAAATATTTTTATTTGATTCGCATTTCTGCGAATTCCTCCAAACCCCAGGTATTGTTAGGCTATTTCTTTTCAAAAATTTATTCTAATTTATCAAATGAATAAACACCTTGGCATAGAATTTGCAATAATTTAATTCATAAAATGTCTTACAATATATAACCGCGAAGTATGCGACACGTCGTTGGTGAATCGATGCTGTTGTTCATGCACCTATATTTTTTTACGTCTCGCGACACCAACCACGCGTGGCATTGCTTCGTTTGCACATTATGTCTGGTCTTATCGACCAGTCGTATTAACGTCAGCGTTGAAAACCGACGACAATTATCGATAATCCTTACAACGGTAATGGTAACGAGTAACAATTAAATATACATTATACATTACGAATAAATACTAAATGTAATCCTCGCAAACTCGGGTGAATAACTGAAACGATGCTTTCCGCTCGCGATATATATATATAAATACATACAAAGGATTCGAGGATGTTTTTAGGGGTGATAGGGTATAAACAATTCGATGGGCAGGGGGTTCAAGTATCCTTAATCATTCCTAAAATCGCTTCTTTACAACAATGTACTCTTTCACGAGCGATTATCACATTCTTCGACCATCGAATTCTCGATCGTATATCTCGGGGTTATATTATCATCGACAATACTTCCTTGACTGCGTTCAATTTGTACGAAAACGAATCTCGAGGAAGTTAGGTCTCCTTACTAAAATTCAGGCGACTGGAAATTCGACGAACCGATAGCATACTTCGATTCCATTTACCTGATAATTGAGATTAATAATTCACTTAAATAATAATTTAGTCAAAAGGAAAAATAGAGACGACAACGAAGGAACAGTATGTCGAAAGCTTCGCGATAGTGTAATAATATTCAGTGTTATATAAACTTTCATCGCTTATTTGTAAGTGTTAATGTTTGCAAAAAAGAAATGCGTACTTTCCAAGGAGCCATCGCGAAGAATTTTAATACGGTTTCTTCGTGTTTTTTTCGACGAAAAACGTTTCGAAGTATACTCTCGATTCAGCCTCGAACATCCAAGGACACGATTATGAGGAAGGACAGTGACTATTTGGAGAACCGGAAGTACAGACCGATTGTACTCGGATTCTCTCGTATCGATTCGAAGTTATGCGTGGAGGAAGTCTTGGTCCGTTGAAAGAAAAAAAAAAAAGAAAAGAAAAATACATTACTCTACGCTGACTAGATTCTACACCCATCCAGTATCGATTCTTAGATTAAATCTAGCCGTTACATGTTCGACTCTAACGAAGAACAGTTCGATCGCATTATCATAATGCTTTCGTTGACGGTGTTCACGTGAGAGATCACAAAATCAAAAATGTTAGAAGCCGTTAACAAGTTTGTGAAAGAAGAAGAACAATGATAATTCAAGATTATTAGAAATAAAAAATGTTTTTACGAAGTACAATATTATAGGTGTCCCTTGCTGTTTCGTTTTTCTTCTTTTTATGTAATTACTTATGTCTTAATTTTCTGTGGTCCTCGATTAGAAGGAGAACGAGAATGGGTTTCGGTTGCCCATTCTCTCGTTAAACCGTGAAAATGCTTATTCGAAGAGCTTTTTAGCGTAGTGCCAAATGCGGAAGAAGTATTCGTCTTGTCGTAGTAGCCTCGCCCTCGCGTACGTATGAATATCGGCGTCCATGTTGTGATCCCTGAGCCAAGAACTCGTGTTCTCTGTACTGAAGCTCACCGATGCGGTTTCACCCTTTTCTGTGGCTTCTGCGATTGGCTCGACTACCGTTAATTCTAAGATCAGAAAAAAAGTACATATTAAAAAACGTCGTCTAAAGGAATTGAACGAACATATTAAACCGTTGTAAACTACTGTAAATTCTCGATGAGTGTTCGAAGGCTCCTCGGCATTGATAAGCTAAGGTCCTTAGGTGTAATGCTAATTTTTTATTCAGGTTTAACACAGTGAAATAGCTTACAATTCTAGAGATAATATTTGTACAATAGTGGGGCCTCTGTTAAACGAGTATTTACTGTAGTACGAATTTAGAAACGTACCGGAAGCTGGTAAAATATTGAAGGGTTCGTCAGATTCCAAAGGTTCGCTGTGACCGATTTCGTTCCTCGCGAAGATTCTGATCAGGTACATGTGATTTTCCTGGAGGTCTCTGATATTCAGTTTCTGCACGTCGGCGTTCACACGACCCACCTCCATCCACATCGTCTTTTTCGCGTCCCTGATGGCAATTTTGTAACCCTCCAACGGGGCGCCACCATCAGTTTCCGGTCTTCCCCAGGAAATCACTACCGTATTCGCTGCGATCTGCCTGATCTCCAACGGTGCGGTGGGTGGTGATGGTACGCCTGTGAAAAATTGATTAAATTTCGACTTAGTCACTGTTATTAAATATTCAAGGGAAATCTCGTCTTCTTAGAAAATGCGTTGGTGACCGGAAAATCTCGCTTCAGGCGTGTGCATTATTTATTTTTTTTATGTTTGTGGAAAGCGAAGTACGAAATCGCTATTAAAATTATTATGTAAAATCCATTTAAAGTAATATGGAATTTACGTCGAGATGCAATAATTCCATGAGCAAATAATTCCTATATTTTGTGAAGGTACTCACTGGCATGTGTCTTTAGGGTGACTGGTTCAGAATTCGTAGGTAAGCTGAGTCCTTGATTGTTCTCGGCAAAGACTCTGAAGAGGAATTCGCTTTCCTTCAAGTTCTCGATGCAGTATTGAAGCGTTGTCGCGTCCAAAGTAACAACTTTCGTCCATCTTGCTCCTTTACCGATTAACGGTCTCTTCTCGATAACATATCCTATTTGGAAGAAAAATATTTACGTAGTTTATATAGTATGTTTTTTTAAAATTAAAATTACCTGTGAGTTCTGTGCCACCATTGCTAAGAGGTGGTGACCAGTTCAGAGTAACACTCTTGCTGGTAACGTTCGTCACTTGCACATGTTGTGGACTCGACGGTGGTGCTGAAAATTATTTCAATCTTGTAACGATAGAACAAACAGGCTGGACAATGAGTAAAGCAGGGAAATATGCGTGATATCGACTTACTCTTGCTGATGACTATTTTCGATGGCGGGAATATACCCAACAGAGCGTACATGCTGCTTTCGGTGAGCTTTGTTATTTCTAAGTGATAGCGAAAGCACGAGCATTAAATAAGCAAAGCTTCGATTGAAAGCGTAATGTTAAAGCGATAGAAAGGTAATGAATGGTGATGAAAAAGCAAAGTATATTTTTCTGAAGCGTTATAAAAATCTATCCGGCGTTTTAGTAGTAGGTGCACCAATTTGTAATCCTCTATCGTTGCTCAGCTATTTAAAAACTGAACAATATTCACTGTCATTCACTAACAAGCCTAACATCTTCTGAAATCGCTGAAAAGTCATTTTCTGTTTCACTATTTTATATGAGCTTATGAAAATCGATTACTTATCGGTGCATCTAATAGTTATTATATCAAATTAGCTTTAAAGGATTAATGTTATGAACAATTTGACTGACTTACTGATTCGTTTTCCGGCTGCAATCGGTTCTTCAGCTACATAAGGAGGACCAGTACCAACGCTGTTCTTAGCTGTTATCCTAAAGTTGTACGGTACATCTGTTTTCAAGTCTGATACACTAAAGTGGGTCACTTCGTGTTTGGTACTGGCGATCTGTAACCAACAAATTAAGATAAGCACTCAAATATTAAATTCGTCTGTGCGTCTCCTGTACCTCTATACAATTTTTATTAACCTTTTGCCAAGACTTCTTTGATTCTTCTTTCATTTCAATGATATAATCTGTGATTGGTGTTCCACCATCGTTCTCTGGAGGTTGCCATTTTATCGTGAACGATGTCTTCGTCATTCCTGATACTTCTAATGGTCCTCTTGGTGGTCCCGGTGGTTCTGTGAATTTTATAAATTTAATTAGTACATTCGAGAAAGTATATTATTGTAAGAAAAAACATATGTTATGTTTATTGTACCGAAGGAAGTTCTCATCCTGACTGTGTCAGACTCCAATGGTTCCGATGCACCAACCGCGTTCCTGGCGATGATCCGGAACTTGTACTCGGCATACAGAAGCTTTCTACCTCCTTGTCGATGTCGACAACCTTCACCCAGGATTTGCCTGGTTCGCATTTCTCGATGGTATACTTGTCGAGTTCGATTCCACCATCGTCAGCTGGTGGTCGCCATTCGAGGGTGACGCGGTCTTGTCTGATCTCTTTGAAAATGACTGGTCCTTGCGGTTTACCTGGTTTATCTAAACGATCGAAAAAAAAAAAAAAATGAAAATTATACACACAGTAGGGGACAAAAAAGTTACCACTTTTTCGATTTGTTTTATTTTCACTATTTTTTAACGTCAAGTTAAAACTTTAGTATGTGTTTAATATCCTGATAACCAGTTATGTACAAGTTTCGAGCAAATTCTCAGCAATAAATGTCAAATCAGCTTACAAAATGGTACAGCAAATTAGCAGTAAGTGTTGCACTATGACCTATGTCAAATTGAGGGCAAAACTGGAACAAGGTTTGCGCAGGCCAACTTGATGTATATGTTGCTGCCAACTTGCGTACAAGTTGTTTATAGCCATAACTTTATAACGGGCATTGGACAAAATTTGGGTTTGCTTTTCAATCAGATTTCTTTCAAACTTACCAATGACTCGAAGATGCAGGTCGACCGAAGAGCTACCGGCTTGATTGGTCGCCTTTGCCGTATAAGTAGCAGTGTCTTCTCGAACGAGAGAAGAAATAGATATGGTAGAGGTCTTTTCTTCGGTTTGGATGGTCACACGTTTGTCGACGATCTTCTTGCTGTTCTTCGACCACGTTACTTCCGGTTTCGGGAAACCGCTGGCCTGAATGTCAATTTTCCATTGGCTGTTCACAGGCAGATTCTGGCTTGCCAAGGTCTCGTTATAGCTGATCTTCGGTGCTTCTTGTACCTTCAGCTCGCACGTTGTCTCCGCTGTTCCGACATCGTTCCTCGCTTTTACCGTGAATGTCGCCGATGATGTTTCTGTTGTCTCTGCGATGGTATATTTCGTCATACGATTCTCGTACGTGATGCTGCTGTCTTCGAAAGTTTCACCGTTCTTCAACCTGAGAATCAAATAAAGATTGCACGATTAAAAAGATTACAGATAAAATAATTAACTTTCTATTTCCATCGATGCCTTTACTATAGATTCGACATTTCTACTTTCTATTTGGGAGAAAAATGTTACAAAAGTATTTTGATATACTTATAATTGCGAATAATATTAAAAACTGTTAATAAAGTTCAGGAAGTTTCATTTCTATTTAAAAGAAATTTCATTACAGACAGATTGTTCACCAGTCCTTGGAAGTTTATTTTTAGATCATCGGTCGTTTCAAAAAGTTTTGACAATTAATTTTAGTCGACCGTCCGATAGTGTGTTAACTAGTTTAGTGTAGATATATGTAGGTGTAAATTAATATCCGTACCAGGTGATTTCTGGAGTTGGTGTTCCGCCAATGACGCATGATAGGGTTACAGTTTCATTTAGACCCACGACAATACTCTTCAGGGGTTCAAGAACGGCTGGTGGTTCGGCCGTTGATGGTTTCGCTATCTTTATGTATGGAGATTTCGGTGACGTATCACCTGGACCTGCTTCGTTCACCGCTGTTACTTGGAAGGTGTACTCTTTGTTCGTGGTTAATTTTGTTACTTTGTGAGTTGTCTCTGATATCTGCTCTGTAACTTTCGTCCATCTACGAGTACAAAATAACTTTTATTTAGTTGTATTCAATTTATCACGACGAATAAAAAAACACAACTCGGAAGTAGTTGGTGATTAAAGACAAACAAGTCACCTCGTATATTAATTTCTTGTCTTTATATCTATTGCCGACAATTTTTGTCGTTAATTACAATATTTTCTCAGTTATTCAAATAAACCTAGAATTTCCTCTTTAGTAGAAAATCAGAATTTCCACAGAGAAATTTCCTCTGAATTCGTTTTATACACAGAAACATTTTTAATTAAGAAGATAAGCCAAATACTCACGAAGTTTCAGTCTTTTCTTGGTATTCCAGAATGTATTCAATGATAGGTGAATTGCCATCTGAGTCTGGTTTCTTCCAGTGAAGTGTGACACTGTCGTTGGTAGTTTCCAATGGTTCCGGCGATCCTGGTGCACTTGGTGCCTCTGCAAGAACAAAATAGATGACGTAGAAAGAAATGATTTCTTTGATATTGTAGATATAATTTGAAGAAAATACAAGGTATTCCAGGCACGATACTCACGCACTATGACGACGTTGATCTCGATACTGCTCTCGCCGAGGTGATTCACTAGTTTCAAAGTATAATCGCCAACATCTTCTTCTTGGATCTTCCTGATGGTCAGGCACGCGGATTCTTCGTCGAGCGATGGCACAACACGTTTCGACTTCGTGACCACGTGGCCATTTACCGTCCATTCGTCGCTTGGTTTCGGTGTTCCGGTGTATTTCACGATAACCTCGACATCCTCGCCTTTCCTCACTTTGTATTTCTTTGGTGTGTCCGGGTTGATCTTCGGCGGTGTTTCAATGACTGTAAATAATGTTAATGGTCCATTAATAAATTTTCAACAATATTTTATTGTGAAATTTTAATCATTTTAACCCTTTGCACTGCGAAACTCTTTTATTTCTAAATGATTAGTGACTGCAGGACTGAATAAGAAATTAATAAGTTGTGCTTTCACAATAACAATATATAAGTGGTTACAACTGAAATTTTAGTCATTAATTTAGTTTGTATTGAATCAATAAGATATAGATTTTACGGCGATCAGTGGTGTGCAAAGGGTGAACAATATTATGTTGATGGAAAACAGATGGCTGATAAAATCTTCAAACTAAATTTACTTATTTCAGGTTATTGAGAGTTGGTAGCTTTTTACGTAACTTGGCCCAATCACAGTACGAATACCGGCGACCTTGACACATTTAAACAACCATTCATTTCCCGCCAATCTAATCCATCCAATTTCTTTCGAATTGTACCTTCGACTCTTAATTTTGACGATGTTTTCACGTTAGTGACTACAGCTGTGTATTCTGAGATGTCTTCGGTGGTGCACTTCTTCACGATCAATTTCTTTACGGTGCCCTCGTCGATGATAGCGTACTTCGATGATTCCTTGATAACTTCAGTTTTTCTGTGAAATGGTTAAATGTTAGTTCACCTTAGATTACTGTAATAGTGTATCGAATTCTTACTCTGTGTAATTTTATTTTTTTACCTGAGCCACGTGACTGGAACGTCTTGAGACAGTTCAATGACGAAAACTGCGTCTGCGTTCAGTGGTACCAGAGTTACATCCGGTAGTTTCGTGATGAAGTCCACTCCAGGCTCCTCGACAGTCAGCTTAGCCGACGAGGTTTGTTTTCCAACGTTGCAAGAATAAACGCCCGCGTCTTCTGGTTCTGTGTCGTAGATCTTTAGCCTCTGTCTCTTGCCATCGATTGATAATTGTACATGCTCGGAGAATTGTAACTCTTGACCGTCTTTGAACCACCGTACCAACGCGTCTCCTTTGGTCAATTCGATCTCGAAAGATGCTCTTTCGCCTCTGGCTATCGTCACGTCTTGCAACTTTGTTATAATTTCTGGCGGTAATTCTGGAATGATTGAAAGAGAAATTTGTCAGTATCTATTATGAAAATCTTAGGAAAGGTTTGTGGATTTTAATGCACTATAGGTTTTTCGAAACTCCTTTCAAAGAATAAGAATTTGCATATGCAATATTTGCAGCATATTATTATGGTTTATTTTTTCTGAGTTTCAAAATTTTAGGAAGATTTATTTTAGAATATCAAACAATTTTAGTTTCACTGTGACAACATGAGATTGGATTTTGTAAAAGTGGTATTAACAGAATTGTACTTTTTAATATATTTCATCTATTAGTTTGTCCTGATAAATATTAACAATCGATGCTTACCAACAACGGTAACTTCTGCTGCGCATTCTTGGTCAATCAAAGTACAAGTGTATTCTCCTTCATCGTGCACGGACGTACTTCTAATCAGTAACTTTCTTACTGTGCCATCTTTCACGAATTCTAATTTTTCTTTGCCCGGTCTCAAAGGTTCTCCGTCCTTGAACCATTTTACATCGGCCGTCTGTGATGTAATTTCGACCTCCAAAATGGCGACTTCACGTTCCTTCACCTCGCAATCTTGTAGTTTCTTCACGAATTCTGGTTTGGTGGCTGTACAAAGAAATTGAAATTCGACTTTTAATTCATTAACAATTAAAGTTATAATCTACAAGAGATAATATTTTGTACAAATGAAAAGAAATTTTAATGTTACATAATACAAATAAAAATTAGAATCAAATATCTACATCGCAATACTAGGTGTATTATTTTATTTTTATCTATTCACTATCCACTGTCTGTTTTAAATGATATATGAAAGTGTAGCAAAATATTGTTATGTCTATCGATTTGTAAAACTTTTGTAATTCAAGAAACATAAATTCTAATTTCAGAATGTGACACTAATATAATATTTATGGGTTTCCAGTAAACATAACGCGAACAGTAAAGGTAGTATAAGTACGACGAAATATGATAAAAGTCAAACAGTGAATATTTCAACACGACGATGTGATTTAAAAATAAGAAAATTCTTACCTTTCACCGTGACTTTGCTAGAAGTTGTCTGATTTTTAACAGTGCACTTGTATGTACCCTCGTCCGTGGGACTGGTTTTCTTGATTACCAGCTTGTGCACGTGTCCTTCTTGAATGATCTCGCGGTGATCCATACCGCTGACCTCCTCGTCGTTGTGCCACCATTTCGTGGAGACTGTATGAGATGTTTCGCAGGTCAATTCCAGAGTCTTGTACTCGTCGACGACGACCTCTTTCTTTAACGTCTTCGTGAATGTGACTGTGTCGACGTCCACCGTGACTCTTGCACCGTGTGAAGCTTTGCCGACAGGATTGCTAGCGATGCATTTATAATCCCCGGCGTCCACCTCCGAATTAGCGTTTCGTATTTCAAGTATTATGTTCTCGCCGTCGTAGGTTTCTGTGATGTTCGGAGATTTCTCCAAGGGCATGTTGTTCCTATGAAAAAGCAATTTATTTTAACATATTTCTTTTCTCGATTTTATCAAAATATATTAATGCCTGTTGACTAACATTTTCTTAATGTTCATTTGAAATGAAAATGACATTAAGTAGATTAGTATAATTTTATTCGATGGCATTTAATTATTGTAAGTAATTAACGGGAATGATAATGTCGGTCCTTAGTGACCAATAAAGTAAAGCGTATTTATTCTAAAGAATTTAACTGAGCAAGTATACCTCAACCACGTGACTTCCGGCACTGGATTTCCGGTAACCTTTGCCACCAGCTTGAAGGTACCTTTCTCTGGAACGGTGAGTTCTTGGAACCGTTCCGTGAAAAGTGGTGGCTCGGGAGCTCCACTTGGTATTTCTAAAGAACGTAATATGTCAATATGTTATTCAAATCGAATAAATTTGATTATTCAAAACAGAATATAAATCACACTAAGCAAAAGCAGAAGCACACCCTACCCTTAACCACAGTGTATTGTTCGTACGCATGATGTTGAATGTTAATGGCCAGCGAAGGCTTCAAGTTTACTGAAAAATATTAGCGAAGCATAATGCGGCGTCAATATAAGCACTGTCTAATATTAATCGATATATGCTTAACGCAATACATTCTTAAAGCGTAATATTAAAAACAAATTTCTATTCGCAACATATATTCATTTAGTTCCAATCAACCCTCGCAAAACGGATTTACAGGTGATATAAGTCGCTCGTAAAAGTTATTGAAAAATACTGGTGATTTTTCCAATGTTTTTAAACTGAAATCTATACGTTATAGAAATGTATAGATGCTGAACAATCTAATTTTCATGTGCCAAATATCTATTCTTTTTATAAACACTATTCCAGCACAGAAGAAAAATAAGCAAGAATGTATTTTAAAAATGAGCGAGTCGTTATTGCGTCTTGGATAGATTTGAATCGTGGTATTTCGATTGTTCCAACCAACGTCGTTCGAGTGTTAATATAAAATATGAATGCATGATACATAAGCATTTATGGCAAAAAGTTAATGTGTTTGCAATATAAGCTGAAAGGAATTCTTACTTTCAACAGTCAACGTGGCTTTCGTCTCGACAGTGCCCAGATCGTTGGTAGCCACCACTGAGTAATCTCCAGTATCGGACACTTGAGGCTGAATCAGTGTCAGGGTGTTCACGTGGCCATCTTGTGTCGGCGTTAAGCCCTTCAACGGCTTACCATTTTTGTACCAAGTGACTTTAGGCGCTGGATTTCCGACAATTTGTGTCGATAACACGACAGTTTCCCCTTCTCTGACTACGTACGATTGAAGAGGTTCTAAAATTTCCGGTGGTTCTGGTTTGCCAGTCTTCACCTGTAAAATATGAACGTTTTAAAAGGGATGCTCGTAACTCGGTAGCAAACGGCGGTCATCTGGAATATCACATTTCAGTTCTATTACTCGTACCAGTATATAATATACTATTTTCTCAGTAGTACTTGTCCTTAGTTTCGTCATTTTACGATGAATATGGTTGGCAAATATTCTAAATTTACATTATAACGCCAGCTTATTTACAGGAAAATAGTAAATTATTCATAGGAATATATATATATTTTTTTTTTGGTTGGGTAGTTTAATAATAATTTTTTAAATCTACGCACCTTCATAGGAATCTCAATGGTAGCTTCACCTTCCCTGTTCCTAGCAACGATGGTGTACTTTCCTTCTTGCTTCTTCTGCACTTTAGTGATCTTGATCACGCTGCAGTACATGTGCATGTCGCTCTCGGTCGCGACCACGATGTTCTCTTTAGTCGTGATTTGCGTGTCCTTGTAGTACCATGTAATCTCAGGTTCTGGCACGGCCACCAGGCGACATTCGAGTATCACGTCATCACCCTCCTTCACGTACTTCGCCTTTGGTTTTCGAGAGAACGTCGGTGGTATACCCTCCAAGATATCGGCGAGGGATGATTCTCTACAATGTTCATTTATACTAATTGATTTATGTAGAAAAAAAAATGTGACGTACCTATAAAGACGTACCTCACAAATCGGACTTTCCAACTATCAATTAAGCTATTCACAGGCCAAAGTGACAAACTCCACTTTGTGAATTTTTATTTTATTTATAAAATTTGAAAATTTATTTTTATTTTCTGTCTAACCTTACAGAAACATTTATTTTTTTTTTATTCTACAAAAATTTATATTTGCATAAGCATCGGTAATTTAGTGATAAAATATGTTAAAAACATTACTTTCAATTAAGTAATGCAATGGACAATGGAAATATATTAAATAATATTTTGCCATAAATTACAATAATATCTACGATCTACAAACACATAAGCCAGAAGATTTAAATGTGATTTTACAACAATATGAAAAATGACACGTAAAGGAAACGTACCTCGAAAGACTCTTCCTGGACGGACCAGTCAGATCCGATCCATGATCAGAAAGAGGCGCCTCTACGACCAGTTCTGTGGTACTGGACGCAAATCCAGCAGCATTCTTGGCGACACAGGTGAAGGTTCCAGCGTCTTCAGGGAACACTTCTCTGATGATCAAAGTGGCCACGTTATCGTCGTCGTAATACATTTGGAAATCAGGGGACGGCTTGATGATTGCTGTCTGTCGGAACCAAGTTATCTGTGGTCTCGGTACACCTTCCACTTGACACTCGAATTGAATCGTGTAACCATCAGGAGTGTGAATTGGCTGTAACTTCTCGACGAACTTTGGTGCTGATGCCTTTTCACCGGGCGCTGGTTCTGGACCATTAAAAAAATATTAATTAATCGTCCATAATGTCAGGCTGTTCCACATGAAATGATCGTTTTATTACTGGCACCTGAACATTGTACGAATTCTATTAGCAACGTAAGATATAAATCGGCTTTATACGCGTTTTTCATTGAGTTATTAAGTTCAGTGATAATTTTCGTTTTTCTTTTCTAAATTTATATCGATCCAAGTCGTTTTACTATTAATATCAATCTATGACATGTTTTTCATTAGCACATTGATTTGATACAATTTATGTCTTGTTATTCTTACAGAGATGTCCTCAATAATGGCTCAAAATTTCATCCAATTTTAATTTTTGCATATTAGTATTTAAAATTGTGAATTTGCATAAACTTCCACAGTGTACTAATTACCATGATATGCAGTTTAACTATTATTATTAATTTCTTCGATATATGTATTAAGACATTAATTTTAAGATAAAATAGCGTATGTAATACAAATAAAAATGAACTTACTTTCAAATACTGGTAGTTTGTCGATCTTTTCGTGCAATTTACGTTGCAAGTAGAGAGTGTAGTGCACTTCGTTGAGAAGGTACTGCGCCGGAACCCAACCCTTCTCTTCCGTCAGGTGTTTCTTCACGAACCACCAGTCCTGATTGGTGTGATCTGTACAAATATAATGCATGTAAACCTTTCCACATCACTACATATTTTTACAAAAAGAAAAAGAATAGGATAAACCTACCAATAACGTAAACTCTTTCACCCTCGACGAGATTAATGGCTTCGTCTGTTTCTGCCACGTACGAGCAGATTGAGAACATTGTGTCGCCATCGCGGACAACGTACTCAATTTCTTCTGAAAAATTTTCGTGTATTATACAATTAATAACTAACGAACACAATATTAAAAACCGTACGAATGAAAGAATTGTTCGAATTTTTTTTGGTAGACGTACCTTCCTCTGAAATGTCCTCTTCTCTAGTGATACTAAGCGTGGCCTCTTCTACAATATTATACACAACCAATTAAGTATTTATTATCAACGGAATAAGTTTAAAGTACACAGCGAGAATAATAAAACATCGTACAGCGGGAAATTAATATCTTTCAATTACGCTTGACTTTTGATCGAAGCTAATCTGATCAACAGATTCAGTGTCGCCATATGTATCACGTTATCGAGCATTTTGTTGGTCTATTTTATCGAAGCATGTTATACAGAGTACCGATATGCTTTTCATTCGCAGTGGATTAAGAAGCAAGGGGACAGGGTAAGATTCTGTCGTCTGGAGGTACGAGGACATTAGGGGTGGGCTAGCATACTCACTAAATATCGATAGTCTGACGAAGCAACGTTAGTCTCTACTTTAAGCTGAAAGCATGTTACAATTCGATTAATTTCTGCGAAAGCAAGAATCGTGAAACGTCCGTTCGAACCTTCGTCGTACGTGGAGACGCGTCTCTTGCTCTTCAGCTTCAACGCCAAGGACTCGTCGGTCTCCTCGATCGAATACTTCCTCTCGCGTTTCAACTTCAAATTTACATCGTCCTCCTCGAAGTCCTCGACTTTGTATGGTCTCGGTTGCTTCTTCCTCCTTCTCCTCAGTGGCAAATTCATTTCGTCAGTGTCCAATTCCTCGATGCTGTACTCGTCCCTGCCTTCGTCGTCAGACTCATCTATGACCTCTTCTATAATCGGACCCGAATCATCATCCACTTCTTTTAGGATCCTAATCGTCTCTTCCCCGGTCTCCTCCGAGTACGTCATAGGCCGTTTCTTCGGTTTCAGTCGGACTTTTCCAGACATCGATATATCTTCTTCTTCGTAGGTATTCAAAGAGATCTTGAACTCTTGCTCCACGTCCTCCTTTGTCTTCGTGCTGCGCGGCCTAAACGTCACATTTTCTATTTCCGTCACTTCTTTGATGTCTTGTCTGGGTTTCTTCTTTGGTCGTAACTTCCGAAGAGTGACGTCTTCGTAGATTTCTTCGATCGGTTTAGGAGCTAGCTTCGGTGGTTTCCGTTTGAAGGTGAATTCGTGTACCTCTTCTTCTTCTTCTTCTGCCGGTTGTTCGATTTCTTCGATCTTTTGGATGGTAAGCTCTTCGGCTGCCACTTCTTCGACCTTTGGTTTAGGTTTTTTCTTCTTTAGCTGCACATCAGTCGACACTTCTTCTTCTTCGGTGGGCTTCTCCGGAGCACGAGTTTTCTTCAGGGTCACCGCGGTTTCTTCGACTTCCTCTGTCACGGTTGGTTTCTTCTCGGGCTTCTTCTTCTTCTTGATAGTGAACTCTTCGGGCGCTTCCTCGGCTTCCGTGGGTACTAGTTTCTGGATGGTCACTTCTGCAGCTTCTTCCTCGACAACCGGTTTCTTCTTCGGTTTCTTCTTCAGAGTCAACTCACCCTCCTCTGGTGTCTTCTCTTCCTCGACAGGTTTAGGTTTTTTAAGAGTCACTTCAGCGACTTCTTCTTCTTCTTTTGGAATAGATTTCTTCTTGGGTTTCGGTTTCAGAGTAACTTCCACCGGAGATTCTTCCTCTTCCTTTTCTTCCACGACAACTTTCTTAATCGTTACTTCGTCAGCAGCCTCCTCTACAATTGATTTCTTCTTCTTTGGCTTTTTCACCTCTACCTTTTCACTAACCTCTTCCGGTGCTTTCTCTTCTTCCTTTGGTACTGGTTTCTTTAGAGTGACCTCCTCTGTTACTTCCTCTGGAACAGGCTTTTCCTTTGGTTTCTTCTTCTTCAGAGTTACTTCCTCTGGTACCTCTTCTTCCTTCTTCTCTTCCACGACCACCTTCTTAATTGTAACTTCATCAGCAGCTTCCTCTACAATTGATTTCTTCTTCTTTGGCTTTTTCACCTCTACCTTTTCACTAACCTCTTCCGGTGCTTTCTCTTCTTCCTTTGGTACTGGTTTCTTTAGAGTGACCTCCTCTGTTACTTCCTCTGGAACAGGCTTTTCCTTTGGTTTCTTCTTCTTCAGAGTTACTTCCTCTGGTACCTCTTCTTCCTTCTTCTCTTCCACGACCACCTTCTTAATTGTAACTTCATCAGCAGCCTCCTCTACAATTGATTTCTTCTTCTTTGGCTTTTTCACCTCTACCTTCTCACTAACCTCTTCCGGTGCTTTCTCTTCCTCTTTTGGAACTGGTTTCTGTAGAGTAACCTCTTCTGTTACTTCCTCTGGAACAGGCTTTTCCTTTGGTTTTTTCTTCTTCAGAGTTACTTGCTCCGGTGCCTCTTCTTCTTTCTCCTCTTCTACAACCACCTTCTTAATTGTGACTTCATCAGCAGCCTCTTCTACGATAGACTTCTTCTTCTTTGGTTTCTTCAATTCGACCTGTTCCGTCACTTCTTCTGGAACTTTCACCTTTTCTTCTGGTTCCGGTTTTTTCAGAGTAATTTCTTCCGCAACTTCTTCCGGTGTGGGTTTCTCCTTCGGTTTCTTTTTCTTTAAGGTGACTTGTTCCGGAGCTCCTTCTTCTTTCTTATCTTCCACAACAGGTTTCTTGATAGTGATTTCATCGGCAGCCTCTTCCTCAACAGGCTTTTTCTTCTTCGGTTTCTTTAACTCGACCTGTTCCGTCACTTCTTCTGGAACTTTCACCTTTTCTTCTGGTTCCGGTTTCTTCAGAGTAATTTCTTCTGCTACTTCTTCTGGAGTTGGCTTTTCTTTTGGTTTCTTCTTCTTTAATGTGACCTCCTCTGGAACTTCTTCTTCTTCCTTCTCTTCTACCACCACCTTTTTAATTGTAACTTCATCAGCAGCCTCTTCTACGATAGACTTCTTCTTCTTTGGTTTCTTCAATTCGACCTGTTCCGTCACTTCTTCTGGAACTTTCACCTTTTCTTCTGGTTCTGGTTTTTTCAGAGTAATTTCTTCCGCAACTTCTTCCGGTGTGGGTTTCTCCTTCGGTTTCTTTTTCTTTAAGGTGACTTGTTCCGGAGCTTCTTCTTCTTTCTTCTCTTCCACAACAGGTTTCTTGATAGTGACTTCATCGGCGGCTTCTTCTTTCACGGGTTTCTTCTTCTTCGGCTTCTTTATTTCTTCAACTACTTCTTCTGGTGCCTTCTCCTCTGGTTTTTTCAGCGTTACTTCCTCAGTTACTTCTTCAGGAACCGGCTTCTCTTTGGGTTTTTTCTTTATAACAACTTCTTCTTGAACTTCCTCTTCTACGACCACCTTCTCTTCAACAATAGGCTTCTTCACTATAACTTCAGCAGCTTCTTCTTCTTTCACAGGTTTCTTCTTTGGCTTCTTCACCGCTGCTTCTTCAGCAACTTCGGCTGGTTTCTTTGGTTTTTTCTTCATTGTGACTTCAGTAATTATTTCTTCTTCTTCTATTTCCTTTTCTTCCACAACTGGTTTCTTTATCGTCACTTCAGTTGGTGCTTCCTCGATCGGTTTTTCTGGTTCCTTCTTCAATGTAATTTCTTCCGTTACTTCCGGTACCTTCTCCGGCTCTTCAGGTTCAGGCTTCTTAATCGTTACCTCTTCTTCTTTAGGAGCCTTTTCCTTAGGTTTCTTCGGTTTCACTTTGCGTTTAATTGTGACATCTTCAGTTTCTTCCTTTGGTGCCTTTGGAGCTTCTTCTTCTTCCTTCGCTGGGAATTCTTTCACGCCTTCATCTTCAGGCTTGTCTTTCTTCCAACCTTTCAGAGTTATTTGTTCCGGTTCTTCTTCCGGTTTTTCTTTCTGCGGGATTCTAAACTTAACTTCTGGTTCTTCATCCGGTTGTGGTGGTTTCGGTACACTCTTTATAAGAGGAACCTGCTCAATTTCCTGATCCGGTTTCTTCTTCTTTTCTTTTTCGTATGGTTTAGGTACTGGCTCAGGTTCTGGTTCTTCTGGCTTTTCATACTCTTCGGGCTCATACTTCTCAAGCTCTGGCCTTTCGAAGTCCAAAGGTTTAAGTTCATCGTGTTCCAATTTCACTTTTGGTTTCTTTTTCTTCTCTGGCTTAATCTCTTCCACTGGTTCTTCTTTCACAGGTTTCTTAACAGGTTCCGGAACTTCTTCCGGCTTCTTTTCTGGTATTTTCTTCAGTTTCACTTTTTCAGGTTCAACTGGTTCTTCTGGTGGCACTTTACCTTTTCCGAGAACTACTTTTTGGGGCTCTTCCGGTTTCTCTTCGGGTTTCTTCGGTTGTCTCTCGTATATCGATTTATCTTCTATCTTCTCGAGAGGCACTTTCTTCAATTCTTCGAACTCTTGATCCAATTTCTCCAACTGTGTGATTTCTTTCTCAGAAAGTTTGACTTTTTTAACCTTCCTCTTAAGGACCTTCAGAGCTTCTTCCGTATTTCTAGAAAGAATTCCAGTTTGTACGGGATTCTCTTCCATGTAAGATATCTTTGGAATCTGTATTTCTGGTGGATAATCACCGACGAACGTGATTCTGCTTCGTAACATGATTTTCGGGAACTTAGGCTCGTCGACTGATTTCTTCTTCGGCACTGCTACCTTCTTCAGCTTAACCGTAGCGAATTGAACGGTTTCGGCGGGCTCAGAGTATTTCAGTTTCGTGGGCTTCATTTCATTCCTTTCGATCTTTTGAGGAATCAGTTTCTGGAGGGATTCTGGTATAGGTTTCTTTTCCTTCTTCTTTTTCGTTGGCTCCCATTGTATCTTTTCAGGCATTGGTTCCAGCACAGGTCGTTCGTACTCAGGCTCTACCCACTCATCGATTTCATCCTTCTTGACTGGTTTCTTCTTCTTCTTCTTTACAACCTTTGCTTCCTTCGGTTTTTCAGGAACTTCCTCCGCTGGCTTTTCTTCTGGCGCTTCTTCTTTTTCCTCCGGAGCCTGTTCTACTGGAACTTCAGTTACCTCTACCTTCTCTTCTTTCTCCTCAACTGGTACTGCTTTACGTTCTTTGGGCTTCTTAGTTGGCAATTCTTCCGTCACCGTTTCAGGGACAACTTCAGTAGTTTCTGCAGTATCCTTAGGAACGATTTCTTTTCGAGCCTTCACCTTCTTCGGTTTTTCTTCGACTATTTCTTCTACTTTGTCTTCAGGCTGTTCCTCTTCCGTCACAGCAGGTTTCTTTTCTACTGGAACTTTCTTCTTCTTCTTCGGCTTTTCTTCCTTTGGTTCTTCTTTCACTTCTGGCTTCTCTTCTGGAACTTCTTTTTCCTCTGGTTTTTCCACAGGAATTTCTTTCTCTTTCGGTTTTTCTTCGATTACTTCGCCGTTTGTAACTGGTTCCTCCTTCTTCTTCTTCTCTTTAGGTACTTTTTTCACAGATACCTCAGTTACCTTTGCCTCTTCTTCTACCTTCTGTTCTTCCTTAGGAACAGCCTTTTCTTCCTTTGGTTTCTTTTCTTTTATCTCTTCTGTTGTTACCTCCGTAACTACTTCAGTCGTTTCTATTTCTTCTTTCGGCAGAATCGTCTTCTTTGCTTTCCTCTTCTTCGGCTCTTCTTGATTTATCTCTTCCACAACTTCTTCTACTTGTTCTTCTTCAGCTTCCGTTGGTTTCAATTTTTTCTTCGGAGCCTTCTTCACGGTAACCTTCTTTTCTTCTACTTTAGCTGTTTCTTGTTCTTCTTCTGTTACTACAGCCTTATCTTCTTCCGGTTTCTCGACTTCCAGTATTTCTTCTGCAGTAGTAGTGACTACTTCTGTCGTTATAACACCCTCTTTTGGAGTAATTTCCTTCTTCGCCTTGCTCTTCTTTGGCTTCTCCGGAATGAGTTCTTGTACTTCTTCTTCCGGTTGCTCCTCAGATTCCGGTACTCCTTCTTTGGGCGCTTCTTTTACCTTCACTTTTTTCGTAATCACTTTCTCTTCCTTCTCTTCAACTTCTGTTGCTTTCTTCTTCTTCGGCTTCACCTTCTCAGGAAGTTCCTCCGTGGCTACTTCCGAAATTACTTCAGTTATTTCAACTCCTTCTGTCTCTGTAACAGTTGGCTTCACTTTTTCTTCTTTTGGCGCTTCAGGCGTTATCTCTTCTACAACTTCTTCTTGTTCTTCTGTTTCAACTGCGGTAACAGTCTTCTTCTTCTTCTTGGGTGCCTTTTTAACCTCTACTTCTGTTACTTTCGCCTTTTCTTCTTTTACTTCTGAGGGTTTAGCTTCTTCCGGTTTGGCCTTTTCTTCTTCCAGCTTTTCAACCGGTGTTTCCGCAATAATTTCTGTGATCTCCACCCCTTCTTTAGGAATGATGTCGCCTTTAGCCTTTTGTTTAACAGGCTTTTCAATCACTATTTCTTCAACTTCTTCTTCAGGCGCTTTACCTTCCTTTATAGTTGCTTTCTTCTTCTTGATAATTTTCTTCGTAGGCGTCTCGATTATTTCAACAATTTCTTCTTCTTCCATAACCTTTCCTTGCTCGATCGTCTTCTCTATCACTTCTTCAACCACCTTCTCCTCCTTCTTTTTGGGTTTCTTTCGAATAATCTTCTTCGTTGGAGTTTCAATAGTTTCAATTATTTCTTCTTCTTCGATAACTTCCTCCGGCTTTTCTGGTGCTTTCTTTAAGTCAACCTTTGTTACTTTCACAGTTTCCTTTTCTTCTTCCACGAGCGGTTTCGCCTTTCCTTTTTGCGGCTTCTCGATGACAATTTCTTCAACGACCTCTTCAGGAACACCGTCATCCTTCGTCACCGCCTTCTTCTTTTTCACGATCTTTTTCGTTGGAGTTTCTACAACTTCTACAATCTGCTGTTCTTCCATTTCGATCGTTTCTTCCTTGGGCTTTATTATTATTTCCTCGACTACGACCTCCTCTTCGCCCTTCTTCATGGGTCTCGTCTTTTTCCTTATGATCTTCTGCGTCGGTGTCTCGATCGTTTCGAAGATCTCCTCCTCTTCTTTTATGACGACCTCCTTCTTCTTCTTGGGCGCTTTCCTCACATCGTGTTCAGTTATCGTCACAGTCTCTTCCTCCTCCACGATTGGCTTAGCCTTCTGTTTTTCAGGTTCTTCGATAGTTATTTCTTCAACGATCTCCTCCGTCACCTCGTCCTTCGTTGTGACTGGTTTCTTCTTCTTTACGACCTTCTCCTTCTTAATGACCTCCTCCTATTTACATCAATGAAAATAATTAAGCGAATCATTATTATCGTAATAACCTGATGCACGTGGAATGTAATTTTTTGTCATTTGTGACAGTAACAAGTATAATAATTACAAAATTTAATATGTGTAATTTTAGTGTATCCTAACTATTAACACAATTTTATTAATCAAAATGTATTTTAACGCATAATTTACGTAATTTTAAAGCAAACGTACAATTTATATATAATTCCCGTACACTAATAAGTAAGTCTTACAAAACAAAATGGCATTCCTTGTGCAACAACATAAGAAAGCAAATTAAAAATATCTTACCTCTTGAATCGTCTTCTCCGCGATATCTGTAATGACAACAAAATGCTTCAAATCCGAACATTAAACAGGAATTTATTTAAACAGGACGTACTAAGGTCTCCCCTCGGCAACTCGCAAACAATTTACCAATGATCAAGGTAATCAATCGAAAGCGGATCAATTGGCTGACCAATGCATCAACAATTGTATATACGGTATAACATAAGGTATGTTTGTCAAGTATGTCTTTTGTTTCCTGTTCTTGTTAAGCATATAAATATATGGTAGAATGACACATGTAAAGTTGTATCGTCTAATTGTACGTAATGGTGATAGTAATACGTAAGAATTGGGCTTACCTTCGGGTACTTTCTCATCGGCTTTGGGTTTAATCGGTCTTTTGTGTTTAGGTTTTTCGTGTAATTCTGGTGTAGTGTCTTCGTGGATTTCTATTGTTGCTGTTAATGGTGCTTTACCTTCCTCTTCGACGATCACCTCTTCGGTGACCTTCTCTTTACCTTCGCGTTTCCTAGTCACGCGCTTTTTGCGAACCGTTTTCTTTGTTCCTTCCTCGACGATCTCGCTCGTCACGATTTCTTCTTTGATCTCTTCAACAGGCGCGGGTTTTTCGATTGTCTCTACAGGGACAACTTCGAGTCTCTCCTCCTCAAATTCTTCGACAGTGACTACAGGCTCAGCGCCTTCTTCTTCTATCGTTGTTTCTTCGACGACTTTCGGTGTCTCGTCACCACGTTTAGTGATGGTTTTCTTTTTCTTGATCTTTCTCTGTTTCTTCTCTGGGGTTTCTTCGATGTCGACGGTGGTAACTACCTCGACGGTCTCGACAATGTCGTCGTCTTTGGGAATGAACTTTATGTAATCTTCAGGTTTCTTCTCTTCTTCCTTTGGCTCTTTAGACTTCTTCCAAGGTTTCAATTTTATTTCTTCTGGTTCCTCGGCCGGTGCCGGCCGTTCAGGGATTCTTTTCTTAATTTCTTCTTCTTCTTCAGGCTCTTTCGGTTTCGGAACACCAGGCACTATAGGAACGGCTTCAGTCTCCTGATCTGGTACCTTGCGTTCCTTCTTTGGCTTTTTAGTTGGAGTCTTCTTGGCTTTTGGTTTATCTGGTTCAGGATACTCTGGTTTTTCGGGTTCTTCTAATTCGACTTCACTCCTGTCTATATCGTAGGGTTCGAATGGCTTCATCTCTGGATACTCAGCCTCCTCCTTCTTCTTCTCAGGTTTATCTACTTCATCTTTTTTCTTTGGAACAAGAACTGGTTCTTCTTGATCTTCTGGTGCCTTTTCCGGTATTTTCTTCAATTTAACAGTCTCTATATCTTCTTCTTTCTCAGGTCGACGCTTTCCTTTACCAATTGCCAGCTTCTTCGGTTTTTCTTCCTCAGGTTCTTTCGGTTTTGGCTTACGTTCGTACGGAGCCAGTTCTTCAGGCTTTTCTAAAGGTACCTTTTTCAATTCTTCAAACTCTTGATCCAGTTTCTCTAAGTCCGTCAGCACTTTTTCAGGGAGTTTCAATTTCTTGTGCTTTATCTTCTTGATTTTCATCGCCTCTTCGACTGTACGGGACAATATGCCGCTTTGCACGTAGATTGGTTCTAATTCGGTTATTGCCGGATATTTTATCGATGGCGGCCATTCGTGTGCGGTTATACGACTGCGTAGTAGAAACTTGGGGAATTTACCTTCTTTTTTATCGAGCTTCTTGGGCGTGACTTTAGGCTTCTTCAATTTAATTTGAGCGAACAAAGGAGTTGCAGGTTCTTCGATCTTCGGTTTGATTGGTTTTTGTTCATTGATACTGATCTTCATTAATTGAGGCTTCAGAGCTTCCTTCGCTTTATCTTGTGGTTTCTTCTTCTTCTTGACCTTTTTATCTGGCTTCTCTTCTGGAAGAGGCTCTTCGAGCTCCTCTAACGGCAACTCCTTCTTCAGTTCCTCAAATTCCTTATCCAACTGTTCTAGTTTAGCTATTTCCTTCTCCAAACGTTTCACTTTCTTCTTCTTCGGTTTCGGTAATGTCGCAGCTTCCTCGACATTACGCGACAGGATTCCGTTCTGTAATTCGTTCGGTTCGAATTCAGTGACTTTCAAATGTCTAAGAGCAGGAGGAAATTCGATGGCAATGATTCGACTTCGAAGCAAAATGCGAGGGAACTTTTCTTTCTTCTCCTCTGGACGCTTCGGTTTCTGTGTCTTGCGCAATTTAATTTGAGCAAACTGAGGTTTGTCCGATGTTATTTCCTGAACCTCGAGTTTCGTAGCCTCGAACTTGGTAACTTTAAGGCGTTGTAACTTAATGGGTTTCTTGGCTTCGCCAATAGGTGTTTCAGGAATTTCTTCAACTGTGACAATATCGGTGACAACCTCCTTTACACCTTTCCTCATTTTTCTCTTGACTACTTTCTTAGGTTTACCGTCTTTCGTGATTTCCTCAGTGACTGTGACTTCTTCGGGCACTTCTTCCTCTTCTTCTACAGATGGTTTAATCTGTTCTGGAGCAGGTAGAGCTGTCAGTATTTCTTCAACTACTTCTTCAATGGGTCCTTCGGTTACAGTTGTCACTGGAGCTTTTCCTTGTTCCTCAACAGTCACAACTTCAGTCACTTGCTGTTCCTTTCCTTTACGTTTGATCACCTTCTTTTTAACAGTTCTTTTAGGTTTGCCTTCCTTCGTGACTTCTTGTGTAACAGTGACTTGTTCACGAACTTCATCCACGTCTGATGGTTTTGTGTAATCTGGTGCAGGTAGAGCTTTAACTGTCTCCTCAATGATTTCTTCCACAGGACCTTCAGTCACAGATGTTATCGGGGCCTTTCCTTGTTCTTCAACTGTGACTACTTCTGTCACAGACTGTTCTCGTCCTTTACGTTTAATGACCTTCTTCTTTGTGGTCTTCTTAGGCTTGCCTTCTTTGGTTACTTCTTCGGTGACAGTCACTTGCTCACGAACCTCCTCTACATCGGATGGTTTGACGTATTCTAGAGAAGGAAGTGGTTTAAATGTTTCCTCAACTACTTCTTCTAATGGTCCTTCCGTAACAGTAGTAACTGGAGCTTTACCTTGTTCTTCGACAGTAACTACTTCAGTTACCTGTTGCTCCTTACCCTTTCGTTTGACTACCTTCTTTTTGGTAGTCTTCTTAGGCTTACCTTCTTGAGTTACCTCTTCAGTGACTGTGACTTGTTCCTGCACTTCCTCAACTTCAGATGGTTTAGCATATTCAGGCGCAGGTAATGATTTTATGCTCTCCTCAATAATTTCTTCAACAGGTCCCTCAGTGACAGTTGTCACAGGTGCTTTACCCTGTTCCTCGACTGTGACTACTTCAGTTACTGACTGTTCTCGTCCCTTGCGCTTGATAACCTTCTTCTTCGTGGTCTTCTTTGGTTTACCTTCCCCAGATACTTCTTCAGTGACAGTTACCTGTTCGCGAACTTCTTCAACTTCAGATGGTTTGACAAATTCAGGAACAGGTAGTGGCTTCAATGTTTCTTCAACCAGTTCCTCAATCGGACCTTCGGTTACGGTTGTGACCGGTGCTTTTCCTTTTTCTTCAACGGTGACAACCTCTGTGACCTGCTGGTCCTTTCCTTTACGCTTAATAATTTTTTTCTTAGTAGTCTTCTTTGGCTTACCCTCTTTGGTTATTTCTTCAGTGACAGTTATTTGTTCGCGTACCTCTTCAACCTCAGATGGTCTGACGAATTCTTGAACAGGTAATGGTATTAATGTTTCTTCCACCACTTCTTCAACAGGACCTTCGGTTACTGTTGTTACTGGCGCTTTGCCTTTTTCTTCAACGGTAACAACTTCTGTTACTTGCTGGTCTTTTCCCTTACGCTTAATAATCTTTTTCTTGGTAGTCTTCTTGGGTTTACCCTCTTTCGTTACTTCTTCAGTGACAGTTACCTGTTCGCGAACTTCTTCAACTTCTGATGGCTTAACAAATTCTAGAGCAGGTAGTGGTTTCAAAGTTTCTTCCACCACTTCCTCAATAGGACCTTCGGTTACTGTTGTTACCGGTGCTTTTCCTTGCTCTTCAACCGTTACTACTTCAGTCACTTGTTGATCTTTCCCTTTGCGCTTTATAACCTTTTTCTTTATGGTCTTTTTGGGCTTGCCTTCTCTAGTAACTTCTTCAGTTACAGTTACTTGCTCACGTACTTCCTCAACATCAGATGGTTTGACAAAGTCTGGAGCAGGCATAGGTTTCAATGTTTCCTCAACAATTTCTTCGATAGGTCCCTCAGTAACAGTGGTAACTGGGGCTTTTCCCTGTTCTTCTACAGTTACTAACTCAGTCACTTGCTGTTCTTTTCCTTTCCGCTTAATAACCTTCTTCTTTACGGTTTTCTTTGGTTTACCTTCTTTAGTTATTTCTTCTGTCACTGTCACTTGTTCGCGAACTTCTTCTACTTCAGATGGTTTAGCATGTTCAGGGGCAGGCAACGCTTTTATTGTTTCGTCGACTATTTCTTCGCGAGGACCCTCAGTTACGGTTGTTACCGCAGCTTTTCCTTTTTCTTCAACAGTCACTACTTCTGTCACTTGCTGCTCCTTTCCTTTGCGCTTAATAATCTTCTTTTTAGTGGTCTTCTTGGGTTTGCCTTCCCTGGTCACTTCTTCGGTTACTGTTACCTGTTCACGTACTTCTTCAACTTCAGATGGTTTAAGAAATTCTAGCAGAGGTAATGGTTTCAATGTCTCTTCTACAACTTCCTCAACTGGGCCTTCAGTGACAGTTACTATTGGGGCCTTGCCTTGTTCCTCCACAGTTACTGTTTCACTTACTTGTTGTTCTTTTCCTTTGCGTTCAATTACCTTCTTCTTAATGGTCTTCTTAGGTTTGCCTTCCTTAGTGACTTCTTCACTGATTGTGACCTGTTCACGTACCTCTTCAACGTCAGATGGTTTGACATATTCAGGAGCTGGAAGGGGTTTTAGAGTTTCTTCAACTACTTCCTCTACAGGTCCTTCTGTGACTGTAGTAACAGGCGCTTTACCTGCTTCTTCAATGGTGACCACTTCAGTAACCTGTTGGTCTTTTCCTTTACGTTTAATAATTTTCTTCTTGGTAGTCTTCTTAGGTTTGCCTTGCTTCGTAATTTCTTCAGTGACAGTTACCTGTTCTCGAACTTCCTCAACCTCCGTTGGTTGAATATATTCCAGTCCTGGCATCGGTTTTATTGTTTCCTCTGCTACCTCTTCTGTTGGCCCTTCTGTCACAGTTGTTACGGGAGCCTTTCCTTGTTCTTCAACAGTGACCACTTCAGTAACTTGTTGTTCTTTTCCTTTTCGTTTTATAATTTTCTTCTTTGTAGTTTTCTTTGGCTTACCTTCCATAGTCACTTCCTGTGTAACAGTAACCTGTTCACGCACCTCTTCCACTGCGGTTGGTTTAGCATATTCTGGGATTGGTAACGGTTTTATCACTTCATCTACTACTTCTTCTACAGGGCCTTCTGTCACACTTGTAACAGGCGCTTTACCCTGTTCCTCGACAGTGACTACTTCAGTTACCTGCTGTTCTTTCCCTTTGCGCTTTATAACTTTCTTTTTAGTGGTCTTCTTAGGCTTGCCCTCTTCGGTAACTTCTTCAGTAACAGTTACTTGTTCACGAACTTCTTCTACATCAGTTGGCTTGACAAATTCTAGTGCAGGCAGTGGTTTCAAGGTTTCTTCTACTACTTCCTCAACAGGACCTTCAGACACAGTGGTGACAGGGGCTTTTCCTTGTTCTTCGATAGTCGTGACTTCTGTTACTTGCTGTTCTTTTCCTTTTCGCTTAATAATTTTCCTCTTTATTGTTTTCTTTGGCTCACCCAATTTAGTAACTTCTTCCGTAACTGTCACTTGTTCTCGAACTTCTTCTACTTCAGATGGTTTACCATACTCAAGAGCAGGTAGTGGTTTAACAAATTCGTCAACCACTTCCTCTATTGGTCCTTCTGTAACTGTTGTCTCTGGCGCTTTTCCCTGTTCCTCTACTGTAACTACCTCGGTGACTTGCTGTTCTTTTCCTTTGCGTTTAATAATTTTCTTTTTGGTGGTTTTCTTAGGTTTACCCAATCTTGTGATTTCTTCAGTCACAGTGACTTGTTCTCGAACTTCTTCGACTTCGGTTGGTCTAATATGCTCTGGAGCTGGTAAAGGTTTTATTATTTCTTCCACCACCTCTTCAACAGGTCCTTCTGTGACAGTGGTAACTGGCGCTTTTCCTTGTTCTTCAACAGTCACTACCTCTGTCACCTGTTGTTCTTTCCCTTTACGCTTAATAACCTTCTTCTTTACGGTCTTCTTAGGTTTACCTTCTTTAGTAACTTCTTCCGTAACTGTAACTTGTTCTCGAACTTCTTCTACTTCAGATGGTTTAGCATACTCAAGAGCAGGCAGTGGTTTAACAAATTCGTCAATCACTTCCTCTATTGGTCCTTCTGTAACTGTTGTCTCCGGCGCTTTTCCCTGTTCCTCTATTGTAACTATCTCGGTGACCTGCTGTTCTTTTCCTTTGCGCTTAATAATTTTCTTTTTCGTGGTTTTCTTAGGTTTGCCTAATTTTGTGATTTCTTCAGTCACAGTTACTTGTTCCCGTACTTCTTCGACTTCAGTTGGTCTAACTCGTTCAGGAGTTGGTAGTGGTTTTATTACTTCTTCTACTACCTCTTCAACCGGCCCTTCAGTGACAGTTGTTACTGGAGCTTTACCTTGTTCTTCAACAGTCACAACTTCTGTCACCTGTTGTTCTTTTCCTCTTCGCTTAACAACTTTCTTCTTCACTGTCTTCTTAGGTTTACCTTCTCTAGTTGTTTCTTCTGTGACTGTTACCTGCTCGTGTACTTCTTCTACTTCAGATGGCTTAGCGTATTCAGGTGCAGGCAATGATTTTATTACTTCGTCGACCACTTCTTCAACAGGACCCTCGGTAACGGTAGTGACTGGAGCCTTTCCTTGTTCTTCAACTGTAACTACTTCTGTTACCTGTTGCTCTTTACCCTTGCGTTTGATAATTTTCTTTTTTATAGTTTTCTTTGGTTTACCTAATTTTGTGACTTCTTCTGTAATTGTCACCTGTTCACGTACTTCCTCTACTTCTGTTGGTTTAACGCGTTCAGGGGCAGGTAGTGGCTGTATGGTGTCCTCAATCACCTCTTCTACAGGACCTTCGGTCACTGTTGTTACTGGAGCTTTTCCTTGTTCTTCAACTGTAACTATTTCTGTTACCTGTTGCTCTTTACCCTTGCGTTTAATAATTTTCTTTTTTATGGTTTTCTTTGGTTTACCTAATTTTGTGACTTCTTCTGTAACAGTCACTTGTTCATGTACTTCCTCTACTTCTGAAGGTGTTACATGTTCTGGTACTGGTAGTGGTTTAATTATTTCTTCAACTACCTCTTCTACTGGTCCCTCAGTGACAGTGGTAACTGGGGCTTTTCCTTGTTCTTCAACAGTCACTACCTCTGTCACCTGCTGTTCTTTGCCTTTACGTTTAATAACCTTCTTCTTCACGGTCTTCTTAGGTTTACCTTCTTTAGTTACTTCTTCTGTCACTGTCACTTGTTCGCGAACTTGTTCGACTTCGGTTGGTCTAACTCTTTCAGGAGCTGGTAATGGTTTTATTATTTCTTCAACTACCTCTTCAACCGGACCTTCTGTGACCGTTGTTACCGGAGCTTTTCCTTGCTCTTCGACAGTTACTACTTCTGTCACCTGTTGTTCCTGTCCTTTGCGTTTAATAATCTTCTTCTTCGTTGTTTTCTTAGGTTTACCTAATTTTGTGATTTCTTCGGTCACAGTTACTTGTTCTCGAACTTCTTCGACGTCGGTTGGTCTAATGTGCTCAGGAGCTGGTAATGGTTTTATTATTTCTTCCACCACCTCTTCAACCGGTCCTTCCGTGACCGTTGTTACTGGAGCTTTTCCTTGCTCTTCAACAGTCACGACCTCTGTCACCTGCTGTTCTTTGCCTTTACGCTTAATAACCTTCTTCTTCACGGTCTTCTTAGGTTTACCTTCTTTAGTTACTTCTTCTGTCACTGTCACTTGTTCGCGTACTTCTTCTACCTCAGATGGTTTAGCATATTGAGGAACAGGTAGTGGTTTAACAAACTCGTCAACCACTTCCTCTATTGGTCCTTCTGTAACTGTTGTCTCCGGCGCTTTTCCCTGTTCTTCTACTGTAACTACCTCGGTGATTTGCTGTTCCTTTCCTTTGCGTCTAATAATCTTCTTTTTCGTTGTTTTCTTAGGTTTGCCTAATTTTGTGATTTCTTCAGTCACAGTTACTTGTTCTCGAACTTCTTCGACGTCGGTTGGTCTAATGTGCTCAGGAGCTGGTAATGGTTTTATTATTTCTTCCACCACCTCTTCAACCGGACCTTCTGTGACCGTTGTTACTGGAGCTTTTCCTTGCTCTTCGACAGTTACTACTTCTGTCACCTGTTGTTCCTGTCCTTTGCGTTTAATAATCTTCTTCTTCGTTGTTTTCTTAGGTTTACCTAATTTTGTGATTTCTTCGGTCACAGTTACTTGTTCTCGAACTTCTTCGACTTCGGTTGGTCTAATATGCTCAGGAGCTGGTAATGGTTTTATTAATTCTTCGACTACCTCTTCAACTGGTCCTTCTGTGACAGTTGTTACTGGAGCCTTTCCTTGTTCTTCAACAGTTACGACTTCTGTCACCTGTTGTTCCTGTCCTTTGCGTTTAATAATTTTCTTCTTTATTGTTTTCCTAGGCTTGCCCAGCTTGGTAACTTCTTCAGTCACCGTTACTTGCTCGCGTACCTCTTCCACTTCAGATGGTTTAGCATACTCTGGTTTAGGCAGAGGTTTTATTGTTTCTTCAATTACCTCTTCCACAGGACCCTCCGTCACAGTCGTCACCGGCGCCTTACCTTGTTCCTCTACAGTGACTACTTCAGTTACCTGTTGATCCTTCCCTTGACGTTTGGTTACTTTTTTCTTGGTAATCTTTTTAGGTTTACCTTCCCTTGTTACTTCTTGAGTAATCGTCACTTGTTCTCGCACCTCCTCCACTTCAGACGGTTTAGCGTATTCTGGTTTAGGTAGCGGCTTTATTGTCTCTTCAATTACTTCTTCAACTGGACCCTCTGTGACACTTGTTACTGGTTTTTTACCTTGCTCCTCCACTGTAACTACCTCAGTCACCTGTTGTTCCTTTCCTTTCCGTGTTATAATTTTCTTCTTCGTTGTCTTCTTCGGTTTTCCTTCTTTTGTTGTTTCTTCTGTCACAGTAACTTGTTCTTCCACTTGTTCAACTCTAGGTGTAACATACTCGAAAGGAGCAATTGGTTTTGTAAATTCTTCTGGTATTTCTTCCTCCTCGTATTCTCCTTTCTCTAATATCGGTTGTTCTTCCTTCTCTTCCACCATTGTTTCTTCAGTCACTTGTGCTTTTCCCCGTCTACGAATAACCTTCTTCTTCGTCACTTTCTTTGTATCATCCTCGACCCGTACTTCTTTTACTTCGACATGTTCTTCTTCCTTTGGTGTCACTTCTTCGACCTCGTCGATTCTCGAAGGCACTATTTCTTCGACGCCCACTGTCGTCATGACTTCCTCTATCGGCATAAATTGCTTCTTCGGTATCGACGGTATTTTTGGTTTAATGTCCTCCAATTCTTCTTCAATGACGACGACATTGTCTTCATCAGCCTCCGTTCCGGGCTTTTTCTTTCTTATAATTGTTTTCTTTGTCTTAACAGCTGCTGTTTCATCGTCCCTACTTCCGCGCCTGAATTTCGTTGTGTACTCCTCAATTACCTCTGTGTCGGATTCGATCGTCTGTTGCTGTGGCGTATCGTGTTTTGTTGTGTGTTGTGTGATTGTGATGTGATGTTGTTGCGCTGGTACTTCTGTGGTTTCTGAAATGTATACAGAACAAGTGTGACATGATTAACAAGTGTCGTGCCATATGTCCGTATATTTGCTTTCTTTTTACTTGGTTTGACTTCTCGATATAATCGCGACCGATCTCTGAAAGATCGTATCAATGGGCTTACCGTGGACCTTTCGTGACAATCTTTAAATCATTAAATACACAACATTGTTCAATATTGTAATGCATGTATGATATTGTTGTTGTGTCCTGTGTGTATGGTCTTGTGATGTAGATCACGATCGTGTCTGATTCCGTGTGTCATACCTACCTTGATCTCTTTACCTCCTCATCTATCCTACAACTCCACGACCCTACATCCAACCTGACCATGGATCAATTTACTCTTCTCGTATTGAAGTTCATCTTTCCTTTTTCAAGGTTCCCCTACCCTCATGAGACATCAATTGCTACAGTCATGTCCTCGAGTCGTTTCCTAACCGTCGTCGTTCCCGTCTGTCCCGTCAGTAGCAATCGCATACCTTGATAGCAAGAATACTCACCCACAACTTGTTCCAGGTGTTCGGCTTGGATCGAAACGCTCGCTAACTTCGCGAAAGGTATAGCAGACTCGGGCAGGTCTGACTCTATCTCACCGGCTGTCAGGTGTTCGGTAACAATCACACCTTGTTGTATCTCGTCTACCCCCCTAGCCGTCTTACTTTCCGGCTTAGTAACTTTAAATTCGGACGCCACGTCCTCAGGCTGAATCTCAGTTTTTAGAGCAACTTCTCGTTTAATGACATCAGGCTGGGCTGAAGCTTCCTTCGCCACGCCTTTTATCACTTCTTTAGCTTCTTGTTCCGTAGCTGTCACTTGCGTCACTTCGAGACTCTCCGACACGCGGAACGAGACCTCAGCAGTCGCTGTCTTCGTCGTTTTCTCTACCACGAACGTTTCTTCGCTTTCTTGCGGAACCGGTTGTGATTGTTCGATACTTTCGAATGGAATCTGTTCAGGGACTATCTTCTTCGTTTCCGGTTTCGCTGACTCTTCCAGTTCACCGGTTGCCGATGATGGTATCACCTGTGACTTCTCGGCAACTTGGATACCCAGGAGACTAGGCTTGGCAGTTTGACTTGTAGGTTCGTCAGGTGTTGGTAGTCCAGTTTCTACCTCGCCAAAAGCGACTTCTGAGATTGATAGAGAGAGCAATTCCTCTAATTGTGGTTTTCCTTTCTGTTCTTCCGGTGCTTTGGGCTTGGGAAGTTCTTCAGCGTTGGTCATTGTCAGTACCTCTGATGTTTCTACCACTTCTATACTATCCAATTTCGTAAGTGCTTTACGTGCTTTGGGAGCCTCTGGACTAGGTAGTTCCTTTTCAGCTTCGGTAGAAACCACCTCGGAAATTGTGATGAAGCTCAGTTCCTCAACGTTAGGTTTACCTTTCTGACCTTCTGGTTTCTCTAATTTTAGTAGTTCTTCGACATTCGTGACTGTTAGAACCTCAGTCTTCTCAGCCACCTCTCTACCGGTCATCTGAGGCTGAGCAGTTTTCTCACTCGGCTTCTCAAGCGATGGTAACGTCTCTTCCAGTTCATTAGACAACACCTGGGAGACTGTTAAAGATGTCAACTCGTCCAATGTCGGTTTTCCTGTTTGTTCTTCAGGTAACATTCGTTTTTCAAGTTCCTCTGCGCTTGCCATGGTGAGGACCTGGCTCGTTTCAGCCACCTCTCTGCCAGTCATCTGAGGCTGAGCAGTTTTCTCAGTACGTTTCTCAAGCGATGGTAACGTCTCTTCCAGTTCATTAGACACCACCTGGGAGACTGTTAAAGATGTCAACTCGTCCAATGTCGGTTTTCCTGTCTGTTCCTCAGGTAACATAGGTTTTTCAAGTTCCTCTGCGCTTGCCATAGTGAGGACCTGGCTCGTTTCAGCCACCTCTCTGCCAGTCATCTGAGGCTGAGCAGTTTTCTCACTCGGCTTCTCAAGCGATGGTAACGTCTCTTCTAGTTCATTAGACACCACCTGGGAGACTGTTAACGATGTCAGCTCGTCCAATGTCGGTTTTCCTGTTTGTTCTTCAGGTAATATTGGCTTCCCAAGTTCCTCTGCGCTTGTCATGGTGAGGACCTGACTCGTTTCAGCCACCTCTCTGCCAGTCATCTGAGGCTGAGCAGTTTTCTCAGTAGGTTTCTCAAGCGATGGTAACGTCTCTTCTAGTTCATTAGACACCACCTGGGAGACTGTTAAAGATGTCAACTCGTCCAATGTCGGTTTTCCTGTCTGTTCCTCAGGTAACATAGGTTTTTCAAGTTCCTCTGCGCTTGCCATAGTGAGGACCTGGCTCGTTTCAGCCACCTCTCTGCCAGTCATCTGAGGCTGAGCGGTTTTCTCAGTAGGTTTCTCAAGCGATGGTAACGTCTCTTCCAGTTCATTAGACACCACCTGGGAGACTGTTAACGATGTCAGTTCGTCTAATCTCGGTTTTCCCGTCTGTTCTTCAGGTAATATTGGCTTCTCAAGTTCCTCTGCGCTTGCCATGGTGAGGACCTGGCTCGTTTCAGCCACCTCTCTGCCAGTCAGTGATGGTCTAGCTTTCACTGTACCAGGAGCAACAGGACTCTCTAGAGTTTCCTCCGCTTCGTGTGACACTGTTTGCGAGACCGTCAGCGAGGATAGCTCCTCAACATTCGGTTTTCCCTTCTGTTCTTCAGGTGCTCGTGATGTTGTTAATTCTTGCGCGCTGATCATGGTCAACACTTGCATCGTTTCCGCAACGTCACGGCCAAGTAGACTGGGTTGAGCCATTTTCTCTGCAGGTACTTCTGGACTTGGTAACACGTCCTCCATCTCAGTGGAAACTGTCTGCGACACTGACAGAGACACAAACTCCTCGAGGCCAGGGACTCCTCTTTGTTCTCCAGGCTTCGTAGCTTCTGCCAAGGTTTCCACGTTACTCATCGTTAACACTTCCATCGTCTGAGCCACGTCTCTACCTATCAGGTTCGGTTGAGCCTCTCTTTGAACTGGTACCTCTGGAGTAGGTAAAGTATCTTCTGCTTCGTGGGATACTACTTGTGAGATGGTCAAAGGAGCCAGTTCTTCGATCTGTGGTTTTCCTCTCTGTTCTTCGGGAGCTACCGGTGCTGCAAGCTCCTCAGCACTGGCAACGGTCAGTACTTGCATCGTCTCGGCGACATCTCTACCAAGCAAGCTCGGTTGAGCTGTCTTCTCTTTGGGAACTTCAGGAACGGGCATAGCTTCTTCCACTTCGTTAGATACCACGTGAGACACCGTGAGCGGCATGAGTTCATCCACCGTTGGTTTTCCCTTCTGTCCTTCTGGTTGTTTTAACGTAAGATCCTCGGTTTCTACCATCGTTGTAACTTGGGCCGTCTCAGCAGCTTCTCTGCCGAGTATGTTGAAGTCTGCCTTCTGATCTTTAGGTGTAGCTTTCAAGGTGAGTATATCTTCGGCTTCGTTCGATATTACTTCGCTCACTGCTACAGAAGAGAGTTCCTCCACCTCCAGGGTACCTTGCTGTTCCTTCAATTGAGTCATCTTTTCCAATGTTTCGGTAGTGGCAGCGGTAATCACTTGTAGCACTTCAGGAGCTTCTCTACCTGTTAGGCTAGGTTGTGCCTGTTGCTCTTTGGGAGCAACAGCTGCAGGCAAAACGTCTTCGATTTCATTGGAAAGCACTTCGGTGACTGTAACGGTGCTAAGTCCTTCGAGCTGAGGCTTGCCCTTCTGTTCTTCCGGTTTGAACTTCCCTTCAAATGTCTCCTCACGTTCACCAACAGTCGTCTCAGTTTTTACCGCTGTTTCGATAACTGTCTGAGTCATGGTCGCCTGGGAGGACACTTGTTTCTCTTCGTGAATCTCTTGAGTACTTTGAATACTCTCCACTATAGATCCTACGACGGTCTCAAGCAGGCTTATGTCCTGGGTAGCCTTAACACCTTCGCGTTTCGGGGCCACGTCGAACATTGTCTCTTTGTCTTCTGTGACTGTCTCAGATATTTGGAGTGACTTCACTTTCTCGATATCGATGTCTGCTTTCTGCGTCTGAGGTTTGAACACACCCTCGAAGGTACGTTCACTCTCCTCGACTATGTTCTCATTTACTATGATACTTTCGAAGGTGTCTTGACCTGGGACGGCTACTTGAGGTGTCATGGTTACTTCCTGGGCCTTATCTGGGATATTTACTTGAGACTCAATCGTGGTTGTTTCGATTATATTACGTTCAGCAATGATGGTACTGGTAGCTGTCTGAGAAGCTTCCATCTTCTTCTCTTTCAGTACCGACTCTACTTCCGCTGAAGTAACTTCGGTGACGGAAATTCCGTGGCCTTCTTCGAAGGTCGGTACAGCGGTGGATGAAACCATCTTGGGATATTTATCGAAATGTCCCTCGCTTTCCGCGCTAGGTGCCTCTTGGACGATGATAGGTTCCAGAGCGTCTTGCGTGGGATGAGCCTTGACTTCATGCTTCTCAAGCGGCTGAACCGAACCGGTGCTTTGATCTATAAACACCTGAGCCGTTTGGGCAACGTCCATGCCAACTTTTGTGAGGGTCACCTCCGCCTTGTTTTCCGCGTACTTCGCTACAGTCATGGTGTCCTCTTTATCCTGTGTAATGACATGGGCAACGGTGATACTTTTGCCCTCAACAAAACTGACAGTAGCGCTGCGTTCGTCCAGTTTCATTTTCTCCTCGAATATGGTACCATGTTCTTGAGGAACAGTTTCACTGATGTCTACGCTTTCTAACGTTGTCTGCGTAGGATGTGCTTCAACTGTGGCTGGTTTTGGAGCTTGAGGCACTTCACCGAGCCCCTCTCTGAGATTAACCTCCATCTGCTGGGCGACTTCTTTTCCCTCCATCGCTGGCTTCGCCATTTCTTCGCGAGGCTTCTTCATCTCCGATAATTCAGCCTCAACGTCTTGGGTCGTGGTTGCCTCCGTAACGGCGATGAAACGGTTTTCGTCCACCGTCAGACGAGCGCTGGTCTTCTGCAACGTCAACTCCTCGATTTTGTCTCCCTCCTTCTCAGCAAGCACTTGTTCCGTCATTTCGATCGTCTCAAAAGGTTTCTGGCCGACTTGAGCCGTAGCTGTTACCGGTTTGACGATGTCCACCTCGCCGGTGCTCTGCTGTGGAATTATTTCAGACCTTTCGGCGACCTCGTGCCCAGAGACTATAGCCGGTACCGCTGATCGAGTTTTTTCCTCTTGGATGGTCTTCAGAACTTCTTCTCGATCAGCTGCGCTGACCTCTGTGACGGTGGTTACGCGTTTACCTTCCTCGATCGAGATCTCTACCCGTTGCACAGCTGGCTTGAATTTACCTTCGAACGTGTTTTCCTGATCTTGGACGACGTCTTGCGTAACCAGAATACTCTGGTATACTTCTTGCGTTGATAAAGCTTTCTTGATGACTGGTTTCTCCACAGTCACCGTAGCGACGGAGTCTTCGACAGAGACTGTCGTGGTTTCAGCGATCGCATGAGTCGTGTCCAATCCAACAGATGCCTCGTGTTTCGACGGTGCCTCTTCGGAAACGTACAAAGACTCCTTGTCAGCTGGAGTCACTTGGGACACTGTAACGATGTTCTTACTTTCCTCGAGATCGATAACAGCCTTTTTATTCTCCGGCAATAAATCTGGCACAAATTTGTCTTCGCTTTCTTGAACAACAGGCTGTGATTCGATTAACGGATTAAACGGAATATGCTCCTGCATAGCGGTAGCCTGGGATGGTTTTTCTTCTACGAAGTCCCCAGTACTGAAGTCGGCCACTTGCATCGTTGTCTCGGCGACCAGATGGCCACCGACTAGGCTTTTATCGGCAGTTTTCATTTCTGGTAATTCCTTTGATGTGTACTCTTCTTCCTTGTCCTCTAAAACTACAGCAGATACCTGTATACCCTGTTCCTCTACCACGGACAGATCAGCCAGAGCTTGAGTCGGCGCCTTGTCTTTACTTAGCACACCTTCAGCCTCGGTAGGCTGTGTTTCCGAGCTGATCACTGCTTCTAGAGGAATATTCGACGGCACCGCTGACGCTGACACTGGTTTCAAATCCTCCAATTTTCCAGCACTAGAGTCCACCGTGACCTCGGTCTTCTCTGCAATCACATGACCAGCGAATTGAACGCTGGCTTGCTTCTCGGATGGTTTCTCCGGAATCTGTAGAACATCCTCTTTGTCTGCTGGTATCTCAGTGGTAGTCGTGGCGCTGATAATTTCGCTGATGGACACTTCAGCCTTGTTGGATATTACAGGCTTGTCAGTGAATTCCTTCTCAGTTTCCGATACGATGGTTTCAGTCTGCACTATACTTTCAAATGGCAATCTTTCTTCCGTGGCTGCGAATGTTGCAGGTACTGGAACAGCCAGATCTCCGGAAACAGCGGCTGGATTGATTTCCATCAGCTGAGCGACTTTGTGCGCGTCGTAAGCTGGAGTGGCCTGTTCACCTTGGATCTCTAGCTTCTTGAAGTACTCTTTCTCCTTGTCAGATGCGATCGTCTCGATCACCGTGACTCCTATACCTTCCTCGAAGGAGACGTCGACAACCTTCTTGTCTGGTTGCACGAAATCTTCCATCGGCTTTTCTAGATCACCAGGAGCTGTCTCGGATGTCATAACGCTGTGGAAAGTGATGTGATCGGTGGTAGCCGTCGCGGTGGTCGTCTCATCCTGTTTGAATACACCGAGATTGTCAGTGGTGGTGGTCTCGCTTGTTTCTGCCACGATGTGAGTCGGAATATCGAAAGTGGCGGATTTGGTCTCGGGCCTCTCTGCTTCGGGCAAAGTGATTTCTTTATCTTCAGTCGTCACAGCGGAAACGATCAAACCTTCTCCAGTTACGAATTCGAGACTCGCTATTTTGTCATCGGGTTTTATCTCGGTAAACGGCGCTTCGGTTTCCCTGGTCTGAACTTCTTCTGCAACCGCTGCTTGAATCGGTAATATTGTAGTTGTAGGTTTCGTTTCTTGGATCGATTCACTTGGCAGCTCTGTTAAGCCAGTGTCGCTCAGAATTTCGAATTTAGATGCTACTCCCTGGGCAATGATATCAACAGTCGCTTCAGCGCCTTTTGGTTTCTCTTCCTGAGTGAATACACCTTCCTTGTCTTCAGGATAAGTCATTCCAACCACGATGCTTTGTTGACCTTCTTCGAACATTACCTGAACGTTTTTGGTGTCAGGCTTGACGTCCTCTTGCAGTGGGGATTCTTTCTCAGAAATTGATATCTCAGTCTGTTCGACCACTTCCAATCCACTCTGTTGTTGGCTAGCGTGTTCTTCCTTCGCCTTCTCTTCTTTCAGAACATCGATGTTGTTCGCGATCACAGTCTCCTCCATCTCAGCTACTTCGTGCCCGCTGGTAATTCCCATGGTGACTTTTCTCTCCTTGGGTAGATCCTCTACTTGCAGTTTCTCCTCGCTTAAAACACTCATCACTTCAGTCACGGTGAGCTTCTCCGACTTCGAGCAGATCTCCACTTCTGCGCTCTGCGTCAACGGCTGTGTATCTTCTTCCCTGATTTTCTCTGTCTCTGCTATGTTGGTTTCCGTCACGATCAGTTCTTCCAGAGCATCGCGCTGAGGAACAGCTTTTCCTGATTTCGGTTGGTCGATACTCATATCTGTGGTGCTTTGAGTTACCAGAGTCTCTGATTTCAAGGCCACTGTGTGACCAGATATAAACGGTTGGGCAGTGTAATCCTGTGGTTTGGCATCGGGGTTGTACACGTTCTCTCGATCGTGTGGAATTATTTCAATTACTGTTGCACCTGGTCTAGGCTCTGTCAGCTCTACTATTGCTGTCTTTCCATCAGGCTTCACGTCAGTTCTATACAGATCTTCTTTCTCCGCGACTTCCTGTATCGCAACGGTGACACTCTCCAGAGTCACGTGAGACGGTTGGGCTACACCGGAAGCTGGTTTCTCTTCCGGTACGTATTCCCCTGTCGGCGAATGTGTTCTTACCTCTTCGTACATTGTGGCCTCTTGGGTGGTGAATTCTGTGCTTGCGTAAGCCCCTTTCACTTCAGAGATCTCTGTGTATTCAGTTTCCCTTTCGCTGGTGACCACCATGGTCGTGTGAAGACCCTCGATCTCGTTCATCGCGATCTCTGCAACCTTTGAGTCTGGAACTTTGTCCTTCTGAACCGGAGCCAAGTCTTCGGCGACGACGGTTTCGTCTACGACCGTTTCCTGCAAGCTGATCGTTTCTATCTTTGCTGTTCCAGGCGATGGAATCTCCTTGGTGATCTCCCCTAAATTATCCTCTGGCTGAGTCATCTCAACCTCCAACGACACAACGGGATGTGTTGGCACAGTCTTCCCACGGTGAGACTCTGGCATTTCGAAGATCTTCAGATCAGCTTCCTTCTCTATAGAGGTCGTTTGGAACACTTCGACGCTCCTGATTCCGTCGTAGCTAGTTTCCACTACGCGTTCTTCGGGTTTTGCAATTTCTTCCATTGTGGTCTCTCGGTCGTGAGTCATAGTCTCCTGAATCATTTTGGCCTCGGTTAATTGTACCGTTACGGTACCACTTTCTTGGACATACTTCAGTTCCTTCGTGAAGTCTGATGGATAGTCCGCCGTGTGGATCTCTGAGACCAGAACATACTCTTCTGGTCTGATCGACGTCTCTGCCAATACTTTAGTCGGTTGCTGGTCTGGCTGATAAATTCCTTCGGATTCTTGAACGACAGTACTCGAGATGGAACCGATTTCCAACGAAGATATGGATGTGTCAGCAGTCTTGGTCGCTGGTTTGTCGCCTGGCTGGTAGTCTGTCTCTTTCTCAGAGGGTACAGTCTCTACCGTCACAGCGGATGGTATTTCGATGATATTCAGATCAGCAACTGCCCTTTTCGTTTCTTCTATCGTCAGGTCAGTCTCCGTATCTTGAGTCTGTACAGTCGACACTGAGACTCCTTCCAGCAAGGTAACGTTAGTCATAGCCTCGAAAGTGTCAATCTTTCGCTCTGATACGTACACTCCTTCGCTCTCCTGGATTACGTTCTGCTCTATCACAGCTGTCTCGTTCCCATAGGAAATACCAATTTGCGCCTTTTGGCTAGGTGGCAGTCTTCCCGGCACGTACTCGCCTTCTTTTTCAGGCGCGTGCATTTCTTCAGTAACCCGTTGTCGTTGGGATATTATGGACTGCGTGGCGATTTCCGTGGGGACTATTAATTCTGGATAGTATTTCCCTGGCTTGTCCTCTGCGCGGACTTCTTCGACGATCAATGGTTCAACAGCGGTGACGTTCACTCTAGGCTTCGTGGGTACAGTTTTCATCGGTTCCAGTTTGTCTTCGGCTAAACCTTCTTGGACCTCGTACACGGACAATCCTACTTGCGGTAAAATGCTGTCCTCTGCCTTGGCAGTCAAAGGCGAGACGAAATCCTCCGTTGGTACTTCTTTCTGACTGACCATTGTCTCGTACACGGTTGTGGCCTCCTGAACGGTCATACTAACGTCCGCTGTCCTGCTGAGTTCCTGTTTAGCGATGGTCAGACTTGACACACCGGCGTCATTGGCCAGAGTCTCGCTGACTACCAGACCCTCTGACGGGACTATCGCTGGCGTAGCTTCGTAAGATGTGGGTTTGAAGGTGTCTGAAAATTCACCAGTGGACGCCTGAACGGTCGTCTCTGTGATCGAGTATGGTTCCACTGGTGAGATCGCGAGAGATGCTTTGCGCTCGATGGGTTTAATCTGACTGATGTCATCGATCTCCTTCTCTTGAACTGGGACTAGTTGCTCTGTCAATGGTGTAATGGTATCCATGGTGAGTTTTGCTGTTTCTAATTCTGGTTTGCCAGGTGCCTGCTCGGTCGTACGATCCAAAGGCACCACCTGGTGACGTTGGCTAGGAACGTTCAATATAATGGAAGCAACAGACTTGTCTTCCTTCACCTCGAACTCTTCGGTCTTTTCCAATTGAACCTCATCCCGGCCAATCTGTGGCCGTTTCGGTTTCAACTCTTTCCTCACTTTCTCTATAATTTCCTCCTCTTCCTCTACGTCCTCTTTCTCTAATTCATCGCGTTTCTTCTGTTTCTGAGTCAGCCTGCCCTTCGTGTCTGTCTCTGTTATTACGGTCTCTATCTCTTCCTCGATTTCCTCCACGTCCTTTCGCTTCTTCTTCGCCCGTTCTGTTTCCTCGATCTCCTCGATCTCTACAACCTGAACCCCCTCTTCCCTATCTTCCTTTCTCGCCTCGATCTGTTCCGTTGGTTTTGTATCTTTGCGTACGCGCAGTGTTGTGTGTGCCTGCCGTGTGTCCTCGTATTCTGTGGAAAGTATGTGAGAATTTTCGTGTGAATCACGCGAGTGTACGTGAATACGGTTGAGGACGCACTCTGCTAGTAAGAAAAACCATTCGCTGCTTTAGACTTCATGCGACGAACCAATTGATGCGGATGCTGCTTGCTAAGACAAGAATCGTGCTTTCAACGAAACAAGAGTCAAAAAACCTACGGACAGTGCACGCCGCCACGAGTTTTGTGTTTATTAATACAGAAAGAAATAAAAGGTGTTGAGGAGAAGAAAAAAAAAAACAGAGCGGACAACGTGTGAACAGCATGTTTTCAGTTTCATTCGACGCATCTTCCAAAGGTATCGTATTATGTTGTAGTGTACTGAACCTTTTTCCAAATTGAAAAATATTTACAATATACTTTAATCTTTGACACAGTATTGTATATAATATTATTTTCTCAGAGAATATTCACCTTGATTGGGTTAATATTAATATTATCGTTTTGTAACTGTGATTATAATTTCTGTAATGTAGAAAAAATAGTGGAGTATCGTTTTCATGGACGAATTACGATGTCTCTGGAATGTTTTGCGGTGTAGAGTAGTGTGCAGTGTAGCTGAATCGCAGGCGCTATGGCATGCGTTGTTTAATAAAAAGACGGTGCGTGTGCGAGTTTTTCGTGTAATAAATAGAAAGAAATAGTGAAGCCCGGCCAGAAGTCAAACCAACATGAACACAAAAATAAGAGACGCTTGTCTGTTACACATCGTGCTCAACTACCGAACGAAACAAACGAAAAGAAAAAAAAACCAGACATATCAAACGCCCATCTAATTGTCTCGTATGTAGGACAACATTGTTATACAGAGATTCATGTGAGTGTGTAACTTGAATGTGTAACAGTAACAAGAAAATACAAATGTAAAAAGTAACAAGTTGCATTCCACTTACTACCGGAACATAATTGGGAACCGTGAAATATCATGTGTTCGTACAATACATATTTTACAGACGTTCTTAATTTGAAACTTAAAACTATAAAATTATTATCGTTATTAATTACATATTATTTCACAGGTTCGTCTAAATTCGACACGTTCCAAACAATAAGAAAAAAAGACTATTCAACTACCGATACGATAACGAAATATACATACAAAACGATTATGATTGGTTATGAAATGCATGGAAATAACATGAATCGAAGCACATTGTTCTATCTTACTTACAGTAAAAACTGCATTAGCAGCGCGAAGCTCATAACGCGAAGCGTCGAGTTTCGATGTTTGGATCGGATAAATGATTAAGTGGGCTGGGGGATGGCTCTTAATTGCGTTACAGGGAGGGGTGTGTTACGACGGTGGGGGTACGGCGCGTGGAAAGCATAGCGGCTTAAGCAGACATTATTTACTGCTATTATTCGATCAAGTAAAGCTTCATGCATCTGAAAGAATAATAAAAGAAAATCATTACGTAGAGACCGTATCGTGCGATCGATACGCGTATATACTTTATAAATATATGGATTCTTTTTGTTACGTTACACCGGCACTATTAGTCAGTATGAGCGAGCTTGAAATGAGATGAGATATTCATTAAGTAATTAGAATGATGTATAAGCTGAATTCCATATGATACGATCAATGGAAAATTTGGTATCCGTTCAGAATTACCACATTCGACTTAAAATAATAAGATTTTCATATGCAGGATGACCCGAAGGAAAAAAATTAAAGAATTTAAAGAGAATATAATACAAATTTAGATAAAATGATGAGAATTTTCTAAGAATAATAGAAGTTTAGGTAAAAACTACATTTTTGTACTTTTTTGAATACTATATATTTTTTAATGGAATTCACGGAAGAAAATAGTTCCTTCACGAAATATGTCTAAAAATTATGCAGGGTGTCAGGACAACTGGAATGTACAGGTAGATGATGCTACATTTGTTCTTAGAAAGCTTAGGTTTCGAAAAAAATCGAAATTTGAAAATTCATGAGATATATATGCTTTAGCATTAGCTTTCCAGTAAAACTTTATTTATTAGGCGTAGTAACGAGTAATCTACTCCTTTTGTAAATAAGATGACAGTATAATTTGAACAGAAAATATTTTTCAGTGTTCTTTCCTTGCTAAGATGTTAGGACTGATGGAATTGAAAGACGAACATTGTTAGAATTATATAATTAGAAGTGATAAGTTTAGAAGAAAATATTGCTCATTGATAATTAAGAGCTTTCAATTATGCAAGACCAATGAAAAACAAATAATAACTTGCTACCGTCAGTGTTCGCTCTAATTATAAGTAGAAACTCCAAGTGATAGACAGACAAATTAGTCAGCCATGCTCGAGAACAGCTGCGAATGACTTTCAGTTTCATATTTTCGAAAACGAAGCTTCGTACGAAGGAATGTTATATAAAATGTTTTACTTATTTTTGTATATAGAATCATCTCCTATTCGGTTGTCCATCCCGACAGTTCTGGTATAATAAATACGCGGAAAAACAGTTACTTAATTCAGTTTTGGAATGTTGAATTTATAAATACAAGGAGATTAAAGTGAACAAAGTAGAACTAGTAAATGCGGATGACAAGATATCTTGATGTGGTGTCGACTGTTCGGACACTGATCCGTTTCCCGAAGATATATGATAAGAAAAAAACGATTAATACTGCTCTCCATTCGTTAATAGAATGGCGAATTATTCGAATGTATATCCCATGCACTGAAACACGTTGCTTCAAACCTTTAATGTCTCGAATATCCTGCGTGCGGACGGCTATTCTTTCGTCCCTCCTCTCTGCAACCAAAAACAAACAAATCGTTCGTTCTCGTGGGAGCTTCGGGAATGAAGGAGGCTCAAACGAACACAAAACAGGAGAATACACGAAAACACACAGGGTTATTATGGCACGTAGTGATAATATCCTTTTATTCGATAAAAATCAAATGTACAGTGTCAAAACGTACTTATGGTTAACGAGGGAAACCGAACGTTTCCTCTCTCGTATATGGTTATAATTGTATGTACAAGAAAGAAAAAAAAAACAATAAAACGCATGCTTAGTCGAACTTATGTCTAGCTGTGAAGCTGAGAAATATTTACAAGAAAACAAAAATAAATATACAAGTTGTATTTATAGGCAGCCACGCAAGCACACACCAAAATCTATGATCTCATATCGATAGGAAAAAAAAAACTGCAACGGATTTGTGATGCTGCAAGTCCGAAGATCATTAAATGCTTTCAATGTTCCTTTTCGGTTTGGAATTTAGCGTCTCACGCGGTCTCGACTTACCCATGAAATGGACCTCCGTTTTGCGGACGATATCCACTCGTTCCGTGACACGTTGCTCCGTTTCAACCTGAGAACAAATCTTTTTTTATAGAATATCCCTACTCAAGTCGTCGAGTTGCAAGTAATTCAGCTATATTCAGTTTTTTTTTACCACATTCACCGCGAAATCTATAGGAAACTGTTTGATTTCTTTTGTGGAGAATGGCATGTGTAGATAGCAAAAATAGCTTTTTTACAAATGTTGTATAATACAAAGGAAAAAATAATTCTTTTAATATGAAGAATTCTGCAAAATAAATTGTTTTAATTTTTTAAACGTTTCCACAAGAGTATAAAGAATGTAATCAACAGAAAAAGAGTTTCGAGGAAAAAGTTCTTTCAAATCAACCCAGGAACTCCTGATTTCCAGGAATCGAAGCTATTTTGAAACACCCTGTATAAATCACTCGTGAATGGGTTCCAAAGTTAAAAAATAAAAACAAGCTGAAATTAATCTCTCTACAGAATAAATCATCTGAACTTCTTACTTCCGTGGCTTCTGTGACCTCCCAAGCGCGTGGCCGGAAGTCCTCCGGAGCGAAGTGCGTGAGCACCTCTTCAACGGTGACGTGTTGTAGCTCGATCATTCTCATGAAGGCACGGAAGCCAACGGTGGCAGCGACAACGCTTTCGTCTGTAGTCGTTTCCTCTGTCAGAACCTGCGTGATCAGCGCGCCATGTCCTTCCCTCTCCACCAGCTGAACAAGAGCGTTCTGTGCCTCGGGTGTTTTCAGCGCTGGGAAGTTGTCTGTCCTGTACAGGCTCTCGTTGATCTCGTTCACAGATACACCCTGCCGCACCAGGTACCCAATCGTAGCCAATTCCCTTAGAGGAGCTTCGCCAGGGCCAAATTCTTTCGCGTGTAGCGTTTCCATTATTTCCTCGACTTCCCTCGCGATGTTCTCCCTTTGTCGTTCGACGACCTCCTCTATGGTCACTTCTTCGCGTGTTTTCACCGTCTTCTTCTTCTTCTTTGGCTTCTCCTCCACAATCGCCTCTCTCGGCTTCTCCTCGAACAACTCCTCCTCTGTCATCACCGTCTTCTTGGCCTTTCTTTGCTTGCTCTCCATTCGCCTGATCTCTTGGACGCTGGTCTCCGTGTGAACCTCTGACACCGAAACTGTTTGCAAGGTTTCTGATGTCACCTGGGCACGGTCGACCATCGTTTCGACCACAAAGTCTGGCGCTAAGTCCTCGGTGGTCACTTCTGAGATAACGACCACCCCTTCGCGTTCTTCCACCACGCGTGTCGCACGCTCCTCAGGTTTGGGGGCTAGTTCTTGAGGCTTCTTATCGTCGATCTTCTTCAGAGACGCGACTGCTTCCGTCAGGACCGGTTCCTGGACTGGGACTATCTTCTTTGCTCGCGATACCTGCGTCGTTTGCGATTGTTTTGATAAGGCGAACATTGGATAATACAGGGTGTCCATAATGTTCATATCTGTTTTAGAGAAATTGCTGAGAAAAGAACAAAAATGCAAGGGAACGTTGGTGAACGAATATTTTATAGGTGCACTTGGAGTTTTGTTATTTTTTCAACAATTTCTGTAAAGTAGATGGGGACTTTATGGACATCCTGTATTAGGTTGGTGGAAAATAAATGACCGATCACCAAACTATTAAAACAAGGTGATTCTACAGAATGTAATCGTAAACAAATTATAAGGCAGGGGTGAATAGAGATTATTTCAAACATTTTTTTTAATTATTTTGTTGTGATTTGGTATTCACCTCTGTGGGAGTCTCTTCAATAACGTCGGTCGTTTCAAGTACCTGTGTCTCCTCGATGTCGACGATTTTCCTGACAGATTAATATACAGATGAATTAATTATAAAGAAAATTTAACAGAGTATACAACTTTAAATAATAAGACTAAGTTAGACGAACTTTTCTTCCGGTTGTTCTTTAGGAACCAACTTCTCCTTGCGCACTTCTTTCTTGTCTACCTTCACACGCTCGGTTTTCACTTTCTCTTTCGTTTCTTTGGCTTTCTTTAATTCGGGTTTCTTCTTTTTGTGCGGTTTCTGTTCCTTCGGCTTGACTTCTGTAATCTGTTCTTCGATAAATTCTTCTTCGTCATAGAATTTCGTCTCACCCGTAATATCTACGGAGAAGAACGTTTAACCATAGGCGTTGTTCAAATTTTTAAAACGTGTAATTTATGTAACTGACGTGAAATGTATTAGATGTACGAATTAGTAATTCACTATTGATTTTTAACAAACTGGTGACATAGTTTAAATGCAAAGCAACTTTCTGACCTTTTCTTCTTTAAAAATGACGGCAACTGTTGAACGACAAATATTACTGGAACGCCATTAACTTTCGATTTTTTAGAAAATGTATACTGGATTTAACAAACGATAGATTGCTTATCGGTACACTTAATGTTAATGTATTTTTCTTTCTGTATAGTTGTTGTACCTGTAACGTGCAGTCTGGCTTTTGAGGTGGCCAAACCGATCTCGCTGGTGGCTTTGCAAACGTAAATGGCGTCGTCCTCTTCGGTCGCGTGTTTGATTAACAGCGACGTTTTCTTGTCCTCCTCGAAAATACGCACTTTCAGGTTCTGTGTGTTCATCACCATCTTGTCGTTCTTGTACCATACAACGTCTTGAAATCCCAAAATACATGGTCATTAAACATTCATACACGAGTATGCTGTAATTTAGTTTCAAAGTGTGGGAACGTAATTAACATAAGTGCTTGTCAATCTGAGCTTATTTGATAGTAATTTATGTATAAATTACTTCGATATTGGGCGATACTCGGTCATTTCCTTCACGTGTATTAAAAGATAAACATTTAGGCTAAATTCATAGATAGTATTCATAAATTTGTTTCTGTCAAAAGACATTATTTAGTGATGACAACATCTGGTGAAAAGATAACAGCTAAAAATGTCTTCGACGGGCCATCTTCAAATTCAGTGTAATATGTACTTATGTAATATAACATGAATGTAACACAAGCATTTCAACCAATAACGTGTACAGAATCTATTGAATCTTAGTTTGTCTAATGTTCAATGTATAAAATGCTGGTAACAAAACTGCCATTTCCTGTCTAACAACCTAATGGTAACTCTGCCGAGCACTGGCATTAAAAACGTTGTCAGGTAGGGGATAAAACGGATAAAATAAATAAATCAAATTGTACTAATAACATCGATGTCACCAAAACACGTGGATTGACCCTACCTGGAGCAGGATTGCCGGAATAAACGCACTCGAACACCGCGCTTTCACCTTCCCTCGCATATACGTCCGTTATTTCTTGAATGAATCGTGGTACAGATTGCGTGGCTGAAATCACAACGGGACAGAATTAAATAAAAAGCAAACTACAAAAGAAAAACAGAAACCGTGCCACTGCACGATTTACCTGATGTCCTGGTTGGTGATTGTGCGACTCGCGTGACCCCGATGTCAGTAATCTGATTAGCAGAAAAACATGACACACCCAAACAAAATCAAATCCATGCTAAACAACTCGTCCACAACGGTACAAACCGATAATTAAAGTCGTCGGTAAATGAAGAAATCGTTAATAAAAGAAAAAAAAATACCTGACATGGTGCCCCTTTCGTCCTCACTGTGATGATCGCTACAAGATACCTCGGATGCCGACATATTTCCCGCCAATCCGAGATTCCCGCTGCACTGGCTCTCCAGTAACAAGAATTCCTGCAATTCCTCTTGACTGTCCGCCGTATGCAATTGTTGGAACGCCTCCAGATCGATTTCACGCGGTTCCAACGGATACATCTTCGGGTCCATCATCAGGTTCCCGATTCGCCTTTCCTTCGACCATCTAGCTACCGGAATTCTAGACTTCGGATATGTGTGATACTTTCTCGCATGATCGTACTCCAATCCTGCGTCGATAGTTTTCCCATAACTCTCCGTCGCAACTTTACTTTGCCCGCTTCCGGTAGACGCCTCGCTATTCTCCTCGATCGGCGATAAATAAAATCCAGGCTCGGGAACGTTCAGCGAATCCGGATTAATTCGGGTGTGGCTTCTCTTCTCGGACCTCGGTGGCGGGAATTCGTTGAAATCCAACACGATCTTCTGTCTTCTTTCGTTTCTCAACACTTCCATCATGGATTCGTTCACTAGAATATTATCGACATTCTCTGTCATTCGATAAGCAACACTGTCATCGGTAATATTTTCATCCAACTGGTTCGCCCTGATCACCCTACCAGCCGACATTTTCTCAGCCGTTGACAGGAGTCTCGATCTATCCGTCCTTGTCGGCGGCGGGGAACACGATTTCTTCGTTCTTATGGTTCTCTGCCTTTCATTCACCACGGATTCCGATAGTCTGGCGCACTTCGCCCTGATCGGTGACGGAGACCTGACTTTCCGGATGGTATCCGTGTCAGCGGCGATCTTCGTCGCTCTTACGGGGGACGTTGGTTTTTCCGATACTGGGCTCCTCGAGGCTCGTAACTTCGTCTTCTGCGCGCTCAATTTGCCCGTGCCAGTTCCGTGCGACTCCCGTTTCACTTTCACGGACACGGTGGCCGAGAACGGCTTCGTTTCCGAGTTCCTCTTCGGCACACGTTTCTCTTCTGGACTGTCCAACGTTTTCTTTTCTTCCCTTGCCTTCGTCGAACATTTTTCTCGATTAGCTATTGTTGTGGCTGAAGATATATCCTCTTTATTGTAGGATTCAAATTCAATGGTTTCGTCGAACGTTTCTATTGTTCTTTCTCTGCTGGACACGTTTATCTCCCATGAATATTCGATGGTGTTTATACTCTGCTCGACACCCATCGAGTCGGAGTATCTTCTGGTCAGGAAGAATCCTTTTGGAGATGTTTCCTCGTCTTTGTCGAAGTATCTCTTACCTTCGTCGTCGATGTTCATCAACGTTCTGGTGGACGAAAACTCGCTGATCATTGTGGAGCTGTCACGCTGCGAGCTTTCGTCACGGATCGCCCGATCGTCGAGACTGTCGGTGGAGAAACTGCACTCCGCTTCACTCAGCATGCATCCGACTATGTCGGACTGGCTCTTACCTTTTAGCGCTTCTTGCATCTCCTCCATCTGTGAGACCCACGACGGTTTTCTGTACTCCTTCGTTCCGAGGATTCCTGGTCGAACAACGGATAGATTGTTAGAGATTTTTGTTCGGACCTTCGGCCCTTTCAGCTCCATCGTTCGAGGCGACGCCAAGAGCGTATATTTAAGCGTTTCGTTTCGGATTAGAGCGCTTGTTCGGCTTTGGCCTCGAGACGATTGCGCGAAATCAGTGTTGTTTCGAAGTAAAAATACAGATGCAATCTTGATAATCGTTAGGGAGTATCGAAAACATTTTCAGTGAAGGCTTAATGATAAAAACGTTTACTTCTTTTTTCAAGTCTTTTGATGAACAGAGAATTGAAAAAAATGAACAGATAGTAAATTTAATAAATTGTATTTAGAAATTGAATTTTAGTAATTTGATATTAAACATAATTTACTATATTTGAATATATAATTGTATTGTAGTTAGATATTGAATTGAGCTATTTAGATATTAAATATTATTTGCTATATTTGGGTATTAAATAGTATAGAATATATTAAATATATTTTATTTTTGTCAAATCTGCTTATTTGATGAAATAAACTGGTTAAGAATATTCTATCGTTTCGTGCAATCGTTCGAGGGCCAAAGTGGATGGAACTCAAAGAGCCCGACGAGTTAGCGGAACGTCGGATAAAAGAATATAAAAAAAGTGTAGGTGAAGGATGTAAAGTGTTCAGTGTGAGTCTGATATGATCGTCATTTGGGAGGTAAGGGGGATAATATTAGGAGATTTCATCGATGATGATTTTCCGATCGTAGAGCGCAGCTGAAAAGAACTCGTATCAAGCAGATTAGCGAAGCTTCCACCACATTTTGGTTTTAGAAAATTCATATGCATACAGCATCGAGACATAATTACCTTCCACCGACAGGTAGGTCGTCGTAGTCGACACGCCGAGCGGATTGTGAGCCTCGAACACAATCTCGCCCGTGTCGTCGGGATACGTTTCGGCGATCGTCAACACCGATGTACCGTCCTCGAAGTCCTCGACCTGGAATTCTTGCGACGGCACGATTTCTACACCGTGCTTGTACCATTTTCCTTCTGGCTTCGGTTTCCCTTTGACCTTCACTTCCAGTCTGTACATAAAAAGGCAAATGTTACGAAATAATGACTAAGGAGACTGGGAATGGTTACCATATTTCGTATAATTTTTATTGCTGAATGATAAATTTATTAGATCGAGTATACAGGTTAATAAAAAAAGGGTTCGTAATTTTTAAGGTAGGCTCCTATTTTTTCCGATAATCGAGGTTCTATTGTAGGTACTGTTTTCTACAACTATTTGATATATGAAATGGGATTTATTATTATTTATTGTTAGTGTGAATCTTAATTATCACGAATTGAGTATTTCCATACCTGGTTAATTCTCCGTCTTTGATAGGAATTAACTGAGGAAGCTTCTTAATTATCTCCGGTGCGGATTCTTCCGTATCTGTGTCGAATAGGGGAGTTTCCTGAAAAACAATTTTTAATTTATGCAATATTAGTAAATGCAATTCAGATATCCAATTCCTTGATATTAGGTCGATCCATAATAAATGACGTTTTAAAATATGCCATAAAAATCTATTGTTATATTAAAATATGAATTCATACGAATATCTGTTCTGTTAGTTATGTTACATTTGGTAGTACTGTATAAGTACTTTTTTTTCTGTCGCAATAGGTAATTTTTTTATGCAAACCTTAGGAGATAAGAGATCTTCTTCTGAACCACTTTGCCCTGTAGTAAGAGATGTTGCAACGATCGAGGACGCAATCTCTGAGTCTGGTACGTACTCGTATGCTGGAAATGTAAAATTTATTATGTACAATAAATAAATATATAGAAATTCGAATGTACATTATCCACGTAGTAAATCCGTTAATACTAAATTCAAAATTTATTTTAATTCTCCGATATTAGTACCTGGAGGTTCTAAATTTGCATGAACTTTCGCAGTCTATTCACGACTCAACCGAGTATATTTATAATATTCAAGTCGTTACCTTCCACGATAAGCGACGACGTGCAAACAGCCTCGCCAACAGGATTCACGGCACGACAAGTGTATTCACCGGCGTCTTCGGGGAACACCTCGGTAATGGCCAGGCTGCAGACACCCTCGGTGTCTTGCATAATCGTGATTTCCTTTCCCTCTTTGATCGGCTTATTGTCATGGTACCACTCGACACGGGGCGTCGGTTTCCCTTGTACGACGCACGTCAGATTCGCGCTTTCACCGTCCATGACCCTCACCGGGGATAATCTCTTGACAAATGTCGGCGAAACCAGCTCGACCGTCTCTTCCCACGGGGTCTCCAAGAGATTTACGGTCGCTGTACAGGTGACAGAGCCGCCAACGTTCTCCGCGCGGCAGGTGTACGTGCCCGCGTATTCGGTCTTGATCTCTTTTATCATCAGAATCGAACGGTTCTCTTGAGTTACGATCCTCACTTGTGGCGTCGACTGTAAACAATGTAATGTTTAATTGATTTTCATTCGATGTTTAGTTCAAGTTGGATTTGACAATCTTGTAGGCTTACTTCGAATTTGAATTGTTATTTTAACACCAAGGATACTGATAGAATTGATAAATATGTATTGATGATATTCTAACAATTCGATATCAAAGTAATCACTGGGAAGTATCAAACGGTATCCTAATTGTAGATACTTAGTATTGATTATTATCGTTTACAGTTGTCGATTATTATTAGTATAATAGTCTGTGGACGTTTATGGTCGAAGAATGTTTTTTGTATACTTTAAAACTACTACACTGTCTGGCATATAAAGGAACAACAAACTTTCAGTAAAAATATGAGTACCTCTAAAGGACGTGTCTCGTGGAACCACTGGAACGACGCGGTCGGATAGGACTCAACTCGAGCTTCCATGATCACGACCTCTCCCTCAGCGACGATTTGTGGTTGTATAGGTTCGACAAATCTCGGAGCTTTCACCTCGTCCGTCTTATCCTTGCGCTCCTTAACCGTAACGGATCCCGAGCTCCTAGCTTCACCAGCAGGATTCTGTACTCTGACCTCGTACTTGCCGCCATCTTTCTTTGTCACATCAGGAATATATAGTTCAGCCGTCTCCTCGTAAATCTTGATGACACGTTCATCAGATGGCACGATCTCGACGCCATTTCGGAACCATTTCACATCCGGTGTCGGTTTGCTCTCGAAATCGGCTGACAACGTTAGAGGTTGGCCACGCTCGGCGACCAATGCTGGGAGAGGTCTCGTGATCTTGGGCGCCCTCAGTACTTCCGGTTTGCTGACTTTAACCACGTTGCTGATCAACAAATTCGCTCTGCACTCGGCACGACCGAATTTATTCACCGCCCGTACGCGATAAACGGTCTCGTCCTCAGGCGTTGGTTCCAGTATATGAAGTTTCGCCTCGCCAGTTTCAGGGTTGAAGGTGATTTCCCTGCCCCTTTTAGGTTTCAGCTCTTGCTCGCCACGGTACCATTTCACTTCAGGCGTTGGCGTTCCGGTGACCACGCACTCGAGAAGAGCTGGCTTGTGCTCCTCGACCATCAACGGTTTGATGGGCGTCGAGAAGTGTGGCGCCACACCTTCTTCTTCTTTTTCTGGGGAATCGAGTCGAGATTAAGTACATTGCAATGGTAGCTTGAATTGAATACCACAGAAATTTCATGCACAAACGTTTCTTGTAAATTGTACCCTGTAAAGACCATAAGCTTCTTTCTATTTGTTAAGATGTTGCAGATGGTGTCTAAAGGTTCGATGTATTTTAAATTATACTTTGGAGCTATATGATGCAGTATGTGCATTTTTGTGATTGTTCTCTATTTTGACGATTATTCACTAATTTCTAACCATTGTGGTGATTATTCACTAATGTTTGGCTTATTTTTGTGATTATTGACTAATTTATTAGAAAAAAAAATAAAAGGTGTAGGATTTAATGATTTTTTTTTTAGAAAATGAATATATGAATAGTTGTAAATAAATCTGCAGGTTGATTTGATCACTGGGGGGTTAGGATTTAGTTAACTGATAGAATTTATGACAACTGACAGAAAACAGTTAGAAAAAGTACATTTTCTAGAGATGATTCCACGTATTCTGAAATTAGTGAACTAATGATTAAATTTACTGTCTATAGTAATAAATGAAAAAGATTCCACATGTGTAATTTTACAAGAATCGTATCTAAAGTAAATTAA